ATGTATATATTAGATTGTTTTATTCTCATTTCATGTGATTGCTCTTGTACCTTGTCTCCAACCACAAAGAGAAGATACTCTGATGAGTAAACAGCAGCAGTGGACGAGACCCTCTGGCTCTCTACCAAAGAGTAATTGGCAAAGATAATAGGGCTAGATCTTGTCAATACAAGCTGCCAACACAGACACAACATATAGTTATTAGTAATGGAGCACATACAATGGTCAAGTAAAGACAAAAGGCTGTTTAAAAAAAAAAAAAAAAAAAAAACAGTCATCTTTTTAACCATGCTGTATACCTGCAGCAGGCGTCCAGTAGAGGTGCCAATATGGGCCACAGTCTTGTTCTCTATGGTTGTGACCAGCAGAGATGTGAGCAGGACATCTGTCATCTGTCTGTTGAAGAGGTCCACTCGGTAATAGGGTTTTGACACCATAGTAGGATGGTCTCTGCATGTGGCGTTGTTCTCCATGCTCTAGTATCAAGGCCACAGGCAGCAGAGGACATGAAAATGAGACAAGGAGGAAGAACATGAGTCAGAAAATACACTAAAAAAAGAAGAGTGAGGAGTCTGACCTTCTGTAGTGGCTTTAGTGCAGGGGTCTCCAACATTTTTAAGGCCAAGGACCCCTTAGATGAAAGTACAATGGAGCAGGGACCCTATGATGCGATGCGATGTGATGTGATACGATAAGATAGCTTGTAGGATGGCCTAACTTGCCACCTATAAACATACCCTTTCATGGTACATACAATACTAATCTATTAAAATAATAATTACTGTCAGATTCACATATTTACATATCATGTTTGTTTCTGAGGTGGATGGTATTTCAGAGTCTCTTGCTCGAAAAGGTACAAAATGATCTACTGTGGCTCCAAGAATGTTCGTACACTTGAAATAATAAAACAGTGAATTGGCCAATATGTTTAAGTAGTACATAACAGTTAGCCAACCAGTTTTCAAGAAGTATTCATGGGTAACAGTTAGGCTATCATCAGTGCTGTGTACTGTAAATTAAATGTAGGCAAATTTATCTTTGCTAATACTATGCTGGATTCATGTTAATGTGTATTTTAGTACTTATTTTAACAATAATTTAAAAAAAAGCAAAACGTAAATAAAATGATCAAACAATAATTTGGCAAGCCCCCTACAGTAACTCTGAGGACCCCCTAGAGGTCACAGACTCCATGTTGATGACCCAGACTTTATTGTATTTAAGGATTAGCAATTTCTAAGGTCAAAAACATAATTTATATTAAACATGAAAGTTTATTCTTGACCTTAGATAAAGTACTGAGACAAAAAAATCAAAACTTTAATCCCACAGCAGGTCCCCTTTTTAAAGCTTTCACAACATCACACATGCTCAGTTGTCATGATGATGGATCTGTACGAATAAGCCAGTAATTGAACCTTAAGTTGTAATTGTTTTTTTACATATTAAACCTTGACAGATCAGAGTGTGTGTTTATGTGCTCTGAAGAGTTCCACATTCTCAGAGAATAATACATTACCTTGTAAAAAAGTACAGATGTAGTAAGACAGGCCCAACTGTTTGCTTGTAAGGACGTGCTACGAGCTGCACTGGTCACCAGGTAACCATGAGAAACAAAGTCCCTGGCACGCCAGAAGCACAGGGTAAATCTGTCATGATAATATGATCATTTCATAACATAACAGGCCATGATAGATGATTGTATGTTGCATTACTGACAGAAGGATTGCCTTGGACACGGAGCAGGGTGGATCACTGTTTGATTAAAGGGAGTCTTCAGGTACACACAAGCTAATATCTTAAGGCCAAGATATTACTAGAATTACCGCCATTAGTTTATATGCCTCTGCCAACCAGTCAAAAAGCAGTTTACATCCATGTCTGCCCAGACTTACATAGCCATGACAGTGCTCATGGGAATAGGACAGACACACAGACAATGTGAAAACATAACTCATAATCCTCCTGGCAAACAGACTTGCGCTTGTATAGCGCTGTTCTAGTCGTTTGACCACTCAAAGCGCTCTCACCCTAGTTGTCACATTCACCCATTCACACATACATTTTCACATTAGTGGCTGAGGCTACTGTGCAAGGCGCCACCTGGTACTCAGTATTTATTTATACGTTCATACACAATCACGCACCAATGACAGCCACTGGGAGCAATTTGGGGTTCAGTATCTTGCCCAGGAAACCACCAACCTTACGTTTAGAGGACGGCCCGCTCCACTTCCTAAGCCACAGCTGTTCTACCTCCTGAGCCAAAGCCTCCCCAACTGTTTTCTTGGCATATAAAAATATTGGAGGAAATGCATCCTCTATCATCCTGTCTCATCATGTGAGCCCTGAGCTTAAGGAACAAACATAAACAGCATCGCTATTGCCTGAAGTCATTCACATCCAAACCCCTGAGGAGCATTAAACCTTGGTTATAATTCAGTGTCCTGAACCCTAAACCTCAAATTCCAAAAATATAGTACATTACTTGGGAAGTTTAAGGACACATACAAGGGGCTCAAAATGAGATGGCATTAGCTCAGTCCATGGAGACTTGGCTTGGTAGCTGAAGGGTCGCTGATTCAAGTCCCGGTAATGCCCACGTATTGAGTGTGGTGAACTTGAGCGGGAACTGGACCCCAAAACTGCTCCAGGGATGCCGTACTATGGGTGACACTGTGCTCCCTCCCCTTCTTTAATGTATATGTGTGGTTTGTATAAAAAAAAAGGAAACTCCATATGTACATTTCAACTGCCAATTACCTGATAGATAGATAGATAGATAGATAGATAGATAGATAGATAGATAGATAGATAGATAGACAGACAGACATTATTCAACTGAATGATCCTCCAATGTCTAAATAATTCAATGAAGTACTAAGTAGCAGGAAAGCACAGTGTTCATGAAGCACAGATGACGCTGCTGGCGTAAACGGTATTTTGACTTGCTGAGAAATGGAAGAATCAGAATTTCAGCTTGTTGGACAATTCCACTGGCAGGTTACTCAATATACAGACCAGCAGCCAAAAGCAACAAAACAGAAGAAGCCTCAGGAGAAAGGTTCACTAGTCCAAGTAGAAAGTTCCTCTGAGGACAAATAGAAGAAAGATCATCCAAAGGAAACATTCCAGCTTAATAAAACTGTTTAACTAAACCTCTTCCAAGTTTTCATCCACTGTGAATGTAACGGCTGAAATCAAATCCAATGTTAAACAACTTGCATCACCTCAGAGTGTTGTTTCTGAGTCACAGCATTTGCTTTCTACTACTCACCATCCAAATTATGATATCATGGCTGCAATTGCAGTAATAGTAACAGTTCTGGGAATTTTACGTTGTTCTAATAACTGGCACTGACTTTGGGAATAGGAGTCTTAGCACACACACACTAGAAATTCACTCAACTGACGCAGAAAACAAGTTATACCAGCAATAAGCCCTCACTCCCACCTGTCCTCCATCTAATTTACATTCCACTGTGTGTAGGATGTCTTTTTCCAACCTTATTTTCCCATCAAAAAAGCTATTTGTATCCCTCTTTTCTTGGATTAAACAGTGAGTGCTTACTGAATGCTGATGCAAGTGGGTCTGGTTGCATTCCTCTGCCTGCTGAGTTTCAAAATGACCTTAATGGGAGCCTACTTCACAGAAATCTCTGAAAGTTTGATGGTGACAATGTGCATACAACAAGGAATTATTCCACGTCAAACAGGAAATAAAAAGGCCATATGTTTGGATAAACTCGGTCACCATCAACTGGATGACCACAAAGACTCGCGGTTGTTTTCATGTGTGTTCATGACCTACTCACATTAAATCAGCCACTTTCATCACTCTTAAAACCTCCGCCCCTTCTTGCCAAGAGTAAGATGTGAAGATCTATGTTAGATATGAAGCTAGAGCCAGCAGAAGGTTAGCTTAGCTTAACACAAAGCTGGGGGAAACAGCTAGCCTGGCTCTCCAGCTTCATATTGGTTTCACATTCATTTTACACAATAATCTTGAGACAGATGTATCTTGGAAAACACTGAGTCACACAATAACAACATGCAGCTGGAGATAAAACAAAACTATGACAGAACCTTTTTGCAGTCTGTTGAATTTCATTAGTCATGTGTGGCTCAGTCCTCATCTAGTAATCCTGCTCCTGCCAGTAGTGTCAGTAAAGTGTTGCTTTGTTTGGGGGTTTACATGATTTCATAAACTGGTTTCTCTAAAATAATCATGAGAAAACACAGGGTGAAGATATGTACTTGTCTTTACAATTTGGATCTCGAATAAGTGCTTATCTACCTGACTCATTTTCCTTGCTCGTGTACAAACAAGCAAATTACGGGTTTTCATGCAGGCACAACAAGCTCTCAGTACCCTTCGCATCTTTTCAATATTTATGTATACATTAAGACTACAGCCACAATTTACAGCTCCACGACCACATGGTAAAATTTTACCAGGCCCTGTCAGGACACCTTCACCATGAGTAAGCAAACTGTTACCCATATGAATGTGTGCCGTTTGGGGAGATACCTTGGATGTTTTTTTTAGTTTGAGTTCTCTGAAAGTGAGTGATGTATTGCATCATCTTACCCTGCAGACTCAACATATGTTCCAACTTATCAGCCCTGCATGAATTGGAAACACACAACTGAGTTTACCATTGTTCCTCACCCGCATCTTTACTACAACCATGTGGTAGTTTTTATATGCTGCAATATCATGAGCAAAATATAGAGTAAACACCACAGTTGAGCAAATCACCTCGTCTCAAGAATGCAGATCCAGACTTCCAGGGTTTGTTACATCACAAACCTTAGGAACCAATCCTGTCAACTTACTGGGTGGAGCTTTCCATAATGCTACAGCAAAACGAGGAGAAGCCAGATGTAGTTAGGTATCATGTTTTGCAAGTTAGGTTTCACTTTCACTTCAACTTGTCAGAGCTGGCGAGATGAGATACGTTTTTAGGGGCTTAATCAGTGCCCAGAGAGGGACTTTAACCCTTTGAAACCAGGGAAAATTGGGCTTGATTTCTTTTAAAAACATGGGAAAAAGGCAAAGAGCAATGAAAGAAGAAATGACCCAAAAAATTAGCAAGACATTAGGAAAAAAAATCTAAATCTATTTTTAGGCATTTCTTACAAAGTTGCTCAATGCCTTTTCCCCATGTTTTTGAATGAAATTGCACCAATTTGCTCAGGGTTCAAAGGTTTGAATATTTGCGAAAGGTGTCTGAAAGCAGCACAAGAAAAGTGATGTTGCTCCAGGTTTCAAAGGGACAAAACTGTATCTCAAAGAAAATCAAACAGGGGCTCTTTCAGTTAAGCAAAAGTGGACTTGAGATTACATTAATCACCTTGAATTTCTGTGTGTTTGTAGCTCACCTCATGTGGACAGCTCTCACAGGGCTGGAAATGGCAGAGCCCCCTGGAGAGCTGCTCTGGTCCAGACTCACAGCAGTCATCCACCCCATCTACAATTGCTTTGTTCACATTGTCCATTGGAAAAGCACACAGGGCAGAGTCGTGCTCCGTGACCCCGTTGTCATCAGTAACAGCAAAAACCCCATAGAGGATGTCATCTTCCTCCTCCGCCCCTAACTCCTCTGCCAGCTCCCTGCCTGCCTTGCCAAAATGGGCTGCCTGGACCACATTATACACCACATCTTTATAGGGTTCGCTGGCTACATTTCTCCTCCGGCGTTTCGGTTCAAATCGACACTCCAGGATCAGCTCACGATACCTCTTCATCTCCCATTCATTCCGTGGGAGACGGCCCAAGCGAGTCTGAAATGGAGATGATTCATGATCCGGGCTCTCTCTCTGAACGGAGAGGAAGTAGACAAACTCCTGAGTGAAAAAGCTGTAGACATATTCAATATGATAAGTCCTCCGCAAACCCGGGAGTACAGTCAGTCCACGCACATCATTGTAGAAACCATCTTCTGTGGCCAGTGGTCGCCGCACTGATAGAGACTTCCTTCCGTAACGCTGGGTCACGCTGTCATTGACAGTGGTGGCAACAAAGAAGTAGACAGTATGACCCTCTTCGACCATGGTGACTTTGGTACCAAGAGGGCTCGCCACACAGTCAGGACAGTAGGCGGCAGAGTTCGAATCCCTCCTGAACAAACACTTAGAAAGAGAGGGAGACTCTCCATTTGCGTTAAGTTCGTGGAAATAGCATACACCATACTGAGAACTTCCACAAGAGTATAAAGACATAAAGAGAGTATCCAACAGCAACACCTGATTGTCCGTGTCCTCCAGGAAGTTGGGGTCCTTGTCTATGTCACACAAATTGCATATCTGACACTCTGGGCTTCCCACCGGCCCAGTGCGGAGCTCCCACACCTTCTCTAAGCTTCTGTTGACAGCTTCGATCACATTCTGAGAGGCAACATACACCTCCTGGTAAAACGAATTGTTGACTATGTTCTGTATGGGGCCCTGAGCCTTGAAGAAAGGCATGGTGTAAACCACAGAGAAGTTGACAGGGCTGGGGGCAAGTGAGGGACAGTTGGCTGAGGCAAAGGCCAGCAGAGTCTGGAGCCAGACACATGTCCCCCACTTTGTGGTCCAGCGCACCATCTCCTCTCCAGGGTGCACCACACGACGATGCAGGGTTACCTCCAGGTCTGATGTTGGGACCAGAGCATTCTTAACACCAGCCGCTGATATCTGAACGAAGAGAGGAGAGTAAGTCATTAAATTATTGAGACACTTTCCCCAAAATACAAATGCAACTGAAACCACAGTGTACACAGTTCATTCTTGACCCTGATAAAAGAAATTTACTAGCTTTTTGCCAAGCTGCAACCTCCAGAGTTGAAAAATGAAGCCAACGCGGAAGTGCCAACAGGTGCAGTCCTTTGAATGGCCACTTAACACCAGCTCCAGAGGCCAGTCAATCCCCACAGACCCCCATCTTAAAATGTCCAACTGTACAGCAGTAACAAACATGTTTACAGCCTGGTAAAAAAAACGTTTTGGCCTCTATAGCTAACTTCCCCCTTTATGACAACTGTGCAGGGGGTGAATATTCAAATAATTTACCATTTACATTTTATTGAGGCTTAAAGTTACGTACCATAAAACTTAAATTAAAAGACATTAAACACCCAGTCCCTTTTACTAGCCCGGTATGGCTACACATTTTGACAAATATACACCTTGCTCAATTAAACGTCAGGTCTGGTTGCCAAGTAATTCATAGTTTTTACAGATGTTCTTTGCATGTATAAAACTGGGTTGTTGGCTACCTCAAATTATGTGTTCATTACTTAATTACCCTGTAAGTTATTCTTATTCCTTTAGTCCGTGAGGGTCCTTAGATCAAAAGAATCAAAAGGGTTTCTCATAAAAGTTAATCCAAGTTGTGAGTATTGATTTAACAGAATAAAGTGGTGTCGTGTTGGTATGCAGATACCGCAATTCTCAAGTGTTATATCTCTCTCCCTCTATGATGCTGTGTCTGTCGGAGCTAGACCAAATGAATGATTCATAATTGATTTGTTATCTGAAGCCTAATTTTATACAAGTAATATTCATACTGGCTTAAATAAACCATTCACTTTGCAATCTTTGCCAAGCAACAGTTTTGTGTGAAAGAAATTTAAAGCCAGTCCCATGTAGACTAATATAAGTAAAATGTATTATAGGCCCATTGATTTCAGTGATTTAAGCAAATAATAACCCGGGCTATTAATTGAAGTTTTACGGTGAAATTACGGGCAGGCTCTTCTGAGTGACAGGCTGTCTGCTGATAGTGTCCTTAGCTTCTCAGTCAGATCCATCGCTTGCTCCTCAACAGCTCTACCCTCTCCTCTAACGATGTTCACTTCAGGCTCCTAAAAAACAAAGATGGCGACAGCCAAAAAGCCGAACTCGAGGCTTCAAAACAGGATTATTATAAAAATAATTATTTTATACAGTCTGTGCTTTTTACATAACTGTCAACCTCATCTTGTGGTCTTCCAAGGTAAAGGAATTTATTTCAAATGCTGAAAAGTGAACCCTAAGGTTTCTTTTTCTTTCACTGACTGAAACAAATGACTGAAAAAATTAATTCATTCAGAACTGATCATTATATCAGTTGTCATCAGTAATACTAAGCCTCCTGCTAACTATAAAATCATAAATGGTGACCTGTTACAAAAAAAAACTGTTTCATGGAAGTGAAGCTCAGCATAAGTTAATTCAGGAAGACTATATTTATGCTTCATTCATTCACAGTTATTGCCAATCAGCCAATCAGCTGATTATGGACATTTACAATCTCTATCAGCCACTGATGTTGCTACTGTCAAGCTTTAAATCTGTTCTCCTCTCTGTAGCAGCCAGCCCATCAAAGGTCCACTCCTCATCACATCCAAATCCCCAGCATCCTCCACATCTCACCACCACCACCACAAGTGTCTAGACTCCACAGGGAGGTTCCCCATTCTACTGCGGCTTCACCATCCCCCTTAAAATATGACATCACGAGGGGTCTTATTGCCAAAGACTATTCACATTTCTCATACTTCTGTGCACATGTAATGTGTGCATTATTTGTAACCGATTAAAGTTAAAATCAGTGTCAGTCTGCTTAACTATGTTTTGCACTGAAGCCAAACAGAAGATTTGAGGTGACAAATATCATCATCTTGGTTGAGCCAGATGATGATAAAAGTACTTGTGGTCATAAAGATAAAAGCTTCCTCTGACTCACCACAAACACAGAGAGGAAAGGTTTACATAACCAAACAAAGAGCTGTGTTGGTCAGCATAGTGGACAGTGTATAAAACTATTTTTATTGTGACTTCCTGCACAACTCATTCATATCTGTCTGGACATGTTTACTGTAGTTAATCCAACATCCTATCTGTTTTTCTCCCGTTGTGAGTCATGTTCCTTTATGCGGAGAAGTGGTAGAAACAAAGCAAGTTAAAGTAAAGTACCAAAACTGAGCATTTTTCTTTGGCTCATCTTGATCTTCAATTTCCTAACAACCAACCAGACGGAACCATGTTTCAAACTCTGAGCCTTGTCTTCATTCTGAACAGACGTTGCTGGGTGGATCATTAACTAGAGACATCACGGTGAGGCTGTATTCAAAAACCCCGGCCTCTCTACTTTGGATTCCTGTCACAACCACTACGTGCCTTCCAGGGGGAAAGATGTGCACGGGCTGATGGTCATAAGACGACATGCGCCTTTTTAAGCCCCAAGTGGAGAAAGAACGGCTCGTGCACTCGTGCCACAGAATTTCATCAGCTCTGATTTTTAATTAAGCAGCAGAGAAACTTCATTTTGACCAAAATTCTTACAAGAAAACAGCACTTCTTTTTGCAATAAGCAGTCATACGGAAAAGTTTGAAGTCAAGTACGGTGTCTTTACATTAATAATTCATGGAATCCCACTAATGTGGTGTTACATTTTAACATGTGCCGCTCCATGTGAAACTGAGGTTAAGGTTCGAGGACATGGGCATACATAGTAATGGCACTGATTGACTTTCTTCATGTTCATGGTTAATAAAGCAAATGGTTGAAATTGAGTTTCCATTCATGTACTATAGTGCTATTTACAGATCGGTCAGCATGCAGGTCTTGGCTGAAGGCTGCAACAATGTATTTCCCTCACTGATGAATAAAAGAGGCAGGATTTGGATTTATGGTCAGTGTGTGAAATGTACCTTTTCAGACACAAAGTTGTTTTTACTGTAATTTACTTACAACAATGACCTGTGAGATAACAATGAGAGGGGTGCAGACATCGCATTGGCTGGGCAATGTATCAATAATATATCGATGCTGTAATATGAGACTAGATATCGAAAGGTTGCATCACAGTAAAGTGATGCAATTTTCTGAACTTACCGGACTGTTTCAGCTGTTCAATTATTTGCTTTTTCCAACTTAGTCATCATGTCCACAATACTGATGATTATTTCTCATAAATTGTGTTAATATTTTTTTCAAGGACAAAAAGTATTTTTAATTTTTTTAATATTTGATTTCCTCCTTATCGCCCAGCCTTAATATGCACCAGCTTTGTAAGTGCCTTGCTCACAGGCACAGATCCAGGGGCAGTTAATTAGAGAAAGAAAGAGCACCTCTCTTTCATCAATCACTTGCACAGATATCCACGGGGATTTCAGGAGGCAAGCTGCTGTGCAACAATCAATGGCCCAAACCTATTGGACCCCAAGGACACAGGTATCGATTCAGTGGCAGGGAATGCATTCCTAAACAGTACAGTACCGCCAAAATCCACCAGCTCTGCGTTTACTTTATTTTGATACATTCAGGTATGGATGACTTGAGTTTATTCTTCATAAAACAATGTGAGATTAATCCAAGTGGTCACATCAACATGGCACCCAAATCAATTCTGAAAACTGCACAGAAGCAGAATCATTTTTTGACAGTGCTTATTACTTCCATATTCATGTTCCTCTTTCTTATCCAAACTTAGCCTGAAGTTCAGAGAAATCATGCCAGTAAAGTCTGGCTCCATTCCACATGTAAAATGGCATTGAAATACAACGCACAAAACAAAACTCTGCTCTGTGAGCTCTATGAATGGTTATAATCTGGTACTAATATGTACACAAAGTACATTTAATTGCAAGTGCACATTTTATAACATAAGTCTCAAATTATAAATGGAACAGTATATGCACACCCCCTACGTCATCAGTGTTCACAACTTTTACACTCATCTTCACACACACACACACACACACACACACACAACATACCACCGTTTTAACACCTCAGACTATATTACAATAAAAACTCCTGTTTAAAACCACTAAGACTGATTTAAATTCCATAAGTGATAGACAGTAATATGTTTAAATTGACTTTAACACGCTTTATTACAACCATTATCTCCTGTTTTAGTATCACTGTCACAGCCTGCAGCTGTAAATGTTATGACAGGCTTACCTGTTGTGTACTGTCCTGTTCAGGGAAGCAGCCACTGCCAGGTTTGCTCCTTGTCTTACTGCAGAACAGCGCGGGGATGACTCTCTTTACTCGGGTATATTCAAGATTTCACCATCAAGCTAGACTGATGTTTTAATAAAAGTTAAAGCCTGGTCATCCTTACAAAGAGCTGGTACATCTGACGCGTGTTTGTTTCGGGTTTAACTTCAGCTCTGTGTGTCTGAGTCGTTGCTCTGTGCCTCTCAGCGGTGCTCCGTCTCGCTCCTCCCCTCCTCACTCTGACACCAGCGGCAAAACCAATTAATCCCCATTGATGTGCCCACGTACGATGTCATAACATGATGCATGCCAGTGTGTGGTTTAGCACTAACTTGCCGTTACATGTTTGTTACATAGTGCACATTTATCCCCTGATCCATTATTATTCCTCATTAAAACAGAGCATCAGAGACACATGTTCCAATACACTTTGCTTACAGGCTGTTTAGCCAACACACCAACATGTCTACGGGTCTTATGTATGTCCCCAGATACTCATGATGGTACACTGTGGAAAGAAAATTCTAAAATATACAGTGTTGAGTTACATATGACTAGCCACAGGAAATACAATGAGAAAATAAATGCAGGCCCAATAAAAATCAGTTACAGCTCCTCATATTTTAGAAAAGTAATCAAATGTATTATTGTAGTAGATATATTGTGAGATATGTTGTAATAATCATAACTTTATCTGTGCAGCACTTTTCGAGCTGAAAGAACAAAGTGTTGTCCAATGTGCAGAAAACACAAAACAAAAGTGACACCAATAAAACATAAGTGATGGCACTGCACTAAAGTTACAACACTTTGGTATGATATGTGTAACACACTCACTGAAGTTATGGACACACCAATTCCGTTAGATCCAGGACTTTTTCTCCTGGGAAATGTTAGAAATTTGAAACTAAATCAAAGCTCAAGGAAATGTATTGATAAAGCTCTTGCTGTTCCCAGGAAATGAATTGAATTAACCTGGAAGTCAGATTCCCCCCTCTCTATATCAAAGTGGACATCAGAAACCATGATTTGTAATTTGTATGCCTCTAAAGAAGATCATCTATGTCCTGAAAAACAAGTATGATGCCATTTTAAACATTTGGCAGCCTTTCATTGAGTATATAGAAACATTACCTTTATCAACTGTAAGCTAATAGTAACATCCAGGTACAAGAGATAGATGTGTCCTTACATTGATTTTTTGGAGGGAATAGTTTGTAATGTTTATGCTAAACTGAAAACATAAAATAGAATATTCATAAATAAATAAAACATAAGCATATACGTACGCCTACATCAACATATACACTTCAACACATACCTGTAAGCATGCAGACATACAGTACAGGCCAAAAGTTTGGACGCACCTTCTCATTCAATGCGTTTTCTTTATTTTCATGACTATTTACATTGTAGATTCTCACTGAAGGCATCAAAACTATGAATGAACACATGTGGAGTTATGTACTTAACAAAAAAAGGTGAAATAACTGAAAACACGTTTTATATTCTAGTTTCTTCAAAATAGCCACCCTTTGCTCTGATTACTGCTTTGCACACTCTTGGCATTCTCTCCATGAGCTTCAAGAGGTAGTCACCTGAAATGGTTTTCCAACAGTCTTGAAGGAGTTCCCAGAGGTGTTTAGCACTTGTTGGCCCCTTTGCCTTCACTCTGCGGTCCAGCTCACCCCAAACCATCTCGATTGGGTTCAGGTCCGGTGACTGTGGAGGCCAGGTCATCTGCCGCAGCACTCCATCACTCTCCTTCTTGGTCAAATAGCCCTTACACAGCCTGGAGGTGTGTTTGGGGTCATTGTCCTGTTGAAAAATAAATGATGGTCCAACTAAACGCAAACCGGATGGGATGGCATGTCGCTGCAGGATGCTGTGGTAGCCATGCTGGTTCAGTGTGCCTTCAATTTTGAATAAATCCCCAACAGTGTCACCAGCAAAACACCCCCACACCATCACACCTCCTCCTCCATGCTTCACAGTGGGAACCAGGCATGTGGAATCCATCCGTTCACCTTTTCTGCGTCTCACAAAGACACGGCGGTTGGAACCAAAGATCTCAAATTTGGACTCATCAGACCAAAGCACAGATTTCCACTGGTCTAATGTCCATTCCTTGTGTTTCTTGGCCCAAACAAATCTCTTCTGCTTGTTGCCTCTCCTTAGCAGTGGTTTCCTAGCAGCTATTTGACCATGAAGGCCTGATTGGCGCAGTCTCCTCTTAACAGTTGTTCTAGAGATGGGTCTGCTGCTAGAACTCTGTGTGGCATTCCTCTGGTCTCTGATCTGAGCTGCTGTTAACTTGCAATTTCTGAGGCTGGTGACTCGGATGAACTTATCCTCAGAAGCAGAGGTGACTCTTGGTCTTCCTTTCCTGGGTCGGTCCTCATGTGTGCCAGTTTCGTTGTAGCGCTTGATGGTTTTTGCGACTCCACTTGGGGACACATTTAAAGTTTTTGCAATTTTCCGGACTGACTGACCTTCATTTCTTAAAGTAATGATGGCCACTCGTTTTTCTTTAGTTAGCTGATTGGTTCTTGCCATAATATGAATTTTAACAGTTGTCCAATAGGGCTGTCGGCTGTGTATTAACCTGACTTCTGCACAACACAACTGATGGTCCCAACCCCATTGATAAAGCAAGAAATTCCACTAATTAACCCTGATAAGGCACACCTGTGAAGTGGAAACCATTTCAGGTGACTACCTCTTGAAGCTCATAGAGAGAATGCCAAGAGTGTGCAAAGCAGTAATCAGAGCAAGGGGTGGCTATTTTGAAGAAACTAGAATATAAAACATGTTTTCAGTTATTTCACCTTTTTTTGTTAAGTACATAACTCCACATGTGTTCATTCATAGTTTTGATGCCTTCAGTGAGAATCTACAATGTAAATAGTCATGAAAATAAAGAAAACGCATTGAATGAGAAGGTGTGTCCAAACTTTTGGCCTGTACTGTATACACATGGCTGCAAATACATACATACACTCCCATGGACACAATAAGTCTATCAACTGTCAGGAAAGGCCAATCTGTAAAAGTAAGTTTTCAGATGACGTGAACAGAGTCAGCTGATCTAATGCTCAGTGGAAGGCTGTTCCAAAGCTACAGAGCAAGAACTGAAAAGGCTCGATCACCCTTTGTCTTTAACCTGGACTCTGGAGCAGTTAGAAGACCCAGACTAGCAGACCTGAGGGGCCTGTTGGGATGGTACAGTTTGAGAAGCACAATTATACTCTGGTGATGCATGTGTTATATGTGCTGAATGTGGATTGTGGTTGTGCCTTCTGTGTTTATAGTGTATTGTGTTTGTATGATGTTTGTGTTTTAGGTCTACATGTAAAAGCCCAATAGGGAAAAGAGTTGAAAATTAGCTATAAACCCTCTGTGCAACACATCAGTACCATACTCTAGTCTGTAGTGGAACTATGTTGAATTGTACCGTCCCTATCAAATAAAAATAAAAATAAATAAATAGGTAAATAATAATAGTAAAGAGTAAAAAAAATAATTGCATCATTTATACTGGGACAACAGTGGGGTTCTTTAAAAAAAAAGGTAATAAGTGGAAATACGTACATTTACTTAAGTACAATTTAGAGCTTAATTGTGACATTTATACTTCTACTCCACTACATATCAGAGAAAACCACTGTATTGTTTACCTCACTGTTTATTTGACAGCTGCAGTTACTAGTTACTTTACAAAATAAGTTTAACAAAACATATGATCGATTTATAAAATCTGATACTGTGCCACAGATTAAACTTTCCAAATAGTATACCAAGTTTTTAAATTGTGCTCCAGTAACTGTAACACTGAAATGCTGCTTATATGTAAAAGAATCAGTATCACTATTCCAATAATACATATGATCAAGTACTGTAACTTTAAGAGACCAATCTGCCTGACAAGCACTTGTTACTTGAGACTTTTATATGTAACTGAGTATCTTTACAGAGCAAAACTACTAGTTTTAGTAACTTTTTTACCATATCGTACCTTGTACTTAAGTAACTCACTTAAGTTAGAGGTATGAGCACATCTTCCACCACTGACTCTTAGCTCACTTAAAAAAGCAAGAAAGCACAAAGGTCACAGGCAAACAAGACAGAATCTAATAGGGAGTCTGTTTTATTATCAGCCATAATTTTATTTCTATCTAATAATTATGGAATTGTGCAGCAGCCACACTGGCTTTGTACAAAGACCATTAGTTAAGGCATGATTAGTGGAGGCAGACATGGCAACTTTGGATTCCCGAAGCAAAGCAGGATCCCGTGAAATACAGTGAACCTTCATGATTAGACACAAGCAGGTAAAATCTCATACAATACTTTTCTTGATTAATATGCATGTTAAGGCAAATTAAGGAAAATTCTAATGGACACTGGAAGATTAATGGACTGAAATTAAGATTCCTTTACATTGACATAAACAAAACATGTAAACATAAACAAATCACAGCAGTAAACATACCCATGAACACATTTCTTTTGGAGTGCGTTTTGCATAAAGAAAGTGCATCGAGGTAAAATGATGATGGTTCTTACAGTTATTGGTCATCGTGTAAAGATAAAACACAACAGGAATGTGGTTAACCCATATGTTGAAATGAGAATACATTCTACTGCAGGTCCTCAAAAATTCCAGTTTTTAATTCAAATTTTATTCTTGATTCTTAAGAACTGAGCATCTATAAAACAAAGACAGTATTTTTCATATTCTCAGAGGCATAATAGGTCTGTTACAGTAAAATAATCATTTATGAAACAACTTCAGCTGCATACAAACACCACCGCTCATGTTGTTATTGTGTCATTGATGGTGCTGATGCTGCTTTCATCTGTTGTTGTTATCCAAATTTATAAAAGTCTAGCCAGATAAAATATAGTTTTAACATACCTTTATAGCACAATCTCCATCATCGCATATCTGTCAATTAGATTAGAGCAACCTGGAAGCAAAGGGGGACAATAATTCGTGAACACTGAACTGCATCATCTGCAGATGTTGTTAGCACCAGACCAGTGGAGGTTCAGGGTGATGCTTTTTGTTTCAGGAGGTCAGCCGGCAGCGAGGGCTCAGTATGTGAGAGGACTCAGGATGAAGAGGCGATCCTCCTCCTTCCTGATCCACTTCAGCAGTTTGTTGACAGCAGACACAGCCATAGCCTTGGTCCCCAGCGGACTGAAGCAGAGGTAGAGCTCAAAGCCACTTGTCACCTGCAGGGAAGAAGGTAGAGCAGTTTGAAGGGTGTGACTTGGTCTTCTAAATGAGTAGTTCAGTACTTTCTGTTTGCTTTGGCTCAGTTTGATATATAAAACTCTTAAAGCGAGGAGCCAAATTGACTTGCTTTAAACAAAAAAAGCTGTCCTTTTACATCACCATTCTACCAATCTACATGAATCGCCATGCAGACGGGAAGTGTGCATCTACTTGTGCTTGTGACAAGGCAGTGAGCTAGCAGGATATGCATGCTTCCTTCTGCTCAGTGATAAGCTGTGCATTCCAAAACCCATACTACCATACTACTGAGTATGCTAGAAAAAGATTGTATGATAGTAGTATAAAATAGTATGTCCCAATACATATAATGTCAGATACAGTATGCCAAATATACCAGGATGTTCTACTGCACCTAGTCGTGTTTCGCAATACACAAGCCAGCATGCTTTTCTGGCTATTCTGACCCACAATCCTCTGTGCAACAAAAAATCAATCAATCAATCAATTTTATTTATAAAGCCCAATATCACAAATCACAATTTGCCTCAGAGGGCTTTACAGCATACGACATCCCTCTGTCCTTAGGACCCTCGCAGCTGATAAGGAAAAACTGCACACAGCTAAGTAACAATACCAGAGCTCTTGGGTAGAGCTCCGTCTCAAGCAAGGTCAGCAAATGCTGTTTTGTTTTATCTAGAAGGAAACTGATAGATGAGCAAGGGGGTCAAAGTTCAGGGCATAATGTTATGAAGAAGTGGCATGTCCCAATTGTGTGCATACTGCATGGAACGGTACCTCCTTTGTAAGGGCAGCAGTTGTAGTTTAGTAGAGAGAAATTAGCTCCTACATGAAACTTGCTACTGATAGAATCTCAAGGAAATGACCACTGCAGACATTTTGGATGACAAGTAGCTACTCTTTGACAACATTATTTTATAACAATGAATGCAATGTTGTGATGTTCTGGTTAACTTAGTAGTTAATGTATTTCCTTGATTCACGCTGTGTGAAACAAACTCTGTTGTGAAAACTGAGCCAGAGCAATTGTGAAAAAAAATACAGTGGAAGACTACAAGCATCTCATCTCACAGTGCAAGGCTTACCCATGCCAGCAGGTTTTCAGTTTCGCTGCAGCGGTAGAAGGTGCGGAGAGGTCTGGTTGGATGATGCAAGCAGCTGTGGAGGTCCTGGTACAATCCCATCACCCTTTCCTGCTCTTCATCAGACTTGTACACCTCAGGAAACTCTGGACTGGAGGAAAGGAAATGAGAGTATTTTCTTAAGATTTACACTCAGAGGGATGCCAAGAATTTGGCGTGTTTGAGACATAAAATTGATGAAAGTATAACTCCTGCAGACGTCCTGCCCACCTGGTGTAGAGCCCTGAGCTCTTTGATTTGTAGAGGAAGTGCCTGAGCTCCGGGATGCCGACCTGGTCCACAGAATAGCTGGGACTTTTAAGTGCCTCTTTCAGAGCCTGGTAGGCACTGCGCTTGCTCAACCTCTCCATGAAGCGTTGCTTGCAGTCAGACATGTTAAAAAAGTCCTCTCGGTCAGTTGAGACCAGGATGAGGCAGACATCAGACGCATGCTCTAGGTAAGAAATGTGAGCATGGAAAAATCCTGCAGTGTTGAACTTTGGCAGACAGATAGGCGTCCAGCCTTCACCTTCTCGAAAGGACGAGGAGGAGCCGACGAGGTTGAAGACCAGGTGCAAGTCTATGTGGTGCAGGAACTGGTCCTTTTTCCTCACCAGAGTAACCAGGCGGTCACCCGCCACCAGGATGGAGAACACCAGGCTTTTGGATTTGGCGGCCTGCAGGCTTGATGAGACCACGTCCCTGGCAGAGCTGGCCAGAGGCAGGCAGGTGACAGCGCTCAGCAGCAGGCCGGGGTCTCGGTCCAGCCGATGCAGCAGGTTGTCAGTAAGGTACTCAGAGCCAGCCAACAGGCGGCGCAGGTCGTAGTTCTGCTTGTGCTGGAAGATGTGGTTGAGCTGCGTGAGGGTAAGCAGGCTGACGATCTGGTAGTAGATGTACTGCAGCTCCCGCAGCAGCTCCTTGTCTGTCTGACAGGTTCGAGACACACCCACCAGGACCAGAGGGCTCTTGGTGAGGAAAACCACTTTACAGCCATCTGACACACAAAATGTTCCCACAGTTAATACAGACTCAACAAAGTTCATGAAACGCACTTTTAACCCATTTATTTGAAACTATGAACCATATCCTTGAACCAATATATAATCTTACCTGCATGGATGGAACGAATGATGTTCTTGTCGGCCTCAAGGACGGATACAAGGGCCATCATCACTCCCATGGTGCTGGACAGAGCCTCCTCCGTGCCATAGCGGGTGTAGATTGGCTTTCCAGCCTCGCTCAGCACAAACACGTGTTTTTTGTGGCTCCTCCATGCCTCACTGCACACGTCCTCCTCCTTAGCCCTACTCTCTGATGTTATGTCATTGTTGTGCTGCTCCTCTATGGTTTTCTCTCCCACCAGCACTTTGAGTTCCTCTGCACAGTCTTCCGATTTGTCTAGTTCAGCCTCTCTGTGAACCTCGTCTTCAGCATCAGCGGTCAGATCCTCGAAAGACTGTGCATGGACGAACATAGCACTCTTCTGACCGGCACCTGCGTTAATGTAATGATAAATGGTTGTCAAGTGTTTGTCGGTACAATGTATAGAGGTTTGAGGAATAAACACATAAGCCTTTAAGATAATAAACAGCCTGGGTGACAGTCCCCGATGGTTCCCACTGACATGCTCCGGGAAGTGGTTGTGTACTGCCATTCAACAGAGGTGGGGCGGTTAACCAGACACCTGTCGTACTAACCACTCAGTCCTCATCCTTTAAGACTTTTCTCTTGTAAAAGTAAAAAATGCAAAAGTATATTTCCTATATTATTTGAGAACAGAAGGTGAGATTTCTCCTCTATCTTAAGTGTTTTTAGACAATACTTTTCTAGTTTATAGGAGAAAAGACTTCAAGGATGAAGACTAAATGTATGATCGGCCAGATTTACATCTAATTAACCCCCCGCCCCCCCCAAGTGCACAACTGCTTTCCTGAGATTTTCGATGGGAACCATTCAGGACTGTTTCCCACAGTCGGTGAGACAGTCCAAAAAGGGGCTAATGTTGACCAGAAAGTTGGCAGAAAAAGCTGGCACATGATACAGAGATCGAATGTTTATGTTATGCCATGTCAGTTTGTAAGATATCATTTTACTGAAGAAGAAAAAAAGAAAAAGAAAAACTTCCCACAAGGAAAAAATATTTTTGAACACTGATTAATATTACCCCAGTCCTGTAAAAGCCTCAAAAGATGTATTATTTGGTTTATTAAGAAATATTTCTTAACAACAAAAGAAGTATTGTGCTACTTTAGACCCTCTTTTCAGAGCAACCACAATAAGAGGAATGAATAAACCCTGGTCACAGCTCATTGGATTTAGAGAATGAGAAAGTAGGAGAAGAATAGGAAAAGACTGATAATGAGTCAGTGAGATAAACTGCAAAAATGTCATGTTTATCTCAAGAGTCAGTAGAGAAAATCCAGGAAAAGTTACATAATTTCTCCTGTCAGAGTTGGATTTGTTCAAGCTGGATGTGACCTGCTGCTGACATGCTTTTACCATGACACTTTTTTTAATAGTCAGTCAGGAGACACCTGTCACAGTAAATGTCTTATGCTGTTGGTATGGCATGGTATTCATAATGTGTTTAAGTTATTGCAAAAAAAAAAAAAAATAGACAGAGTATGATTCATATTACAGTGTACTCTAAGAGAACCCAAAACTAATGGTGTCCAGGAGATTCTGTCAATGCAGTCGTTGTCATCTTTTCTTACGAAAGCATTCCCCTCAAACAACCAGCAACGTGGCGTGAAGATTACAAAAGACACATAATTGTGATCATAAGTTCAACATTTCTTTGCACAACAGGATGTGCACATTCATGCTCTCTTGCACACACACAACACACACACACACACAGTCCTTCCCATAAGATTGCATGATAATAACAATGTCAAATGGAGAACTTTGCCTGCACCCAAGTGTTGCCAAAGTATTACTGTCATGCTTTGCGTGTGTTTTTGTCATGCAATTATGTATCCATTAAAAATCAGTATTATTGTAGGCACAGTGTGCTGCAAACTCTTTCTGTTTTTATTTTTCAAAAACATGGCCGAACTAAGCAGCAATCATGATCAAAATATCCAAATGCCAAACGACAAACGACTGCTTATCCATAGACTGATGCATGACCAGCTCAAATGGAAGTTGTCTCTTTGTATAAGGAGCACTGGTGTACTGTAAACATTACACTCGTGTACTGTAAACATTTTTGATGTTTTGTAATATAATCCCATGGGGGATTGGATGACACATAAAGGAACTCTATATGAAATTTGGAGCATGTTTGCGATTCAGTTGGTCTGCACACAGCTCTCAACATAGAGATGGCTGTGGGGCCGTTAGCAGCTAATGGTGCTAACAGCGCAAACACTGCCAACAATGGCAACAGTGCTGACAGAGCTTAAGGTGTTAACAAGGGGGAAACCAGAAGGTGGACACTACACTTCTGCAGCGAGTAAGATATTAAACTTATATTGTGACTTTGCTGTTTTAATATTACTGTTACTGTTCTAGAAACAACACAAATACAACAGTTAAAAAATACCAAGTTTTAATCCTGTTGTGTATTTATTCTTTTTTTTTTTAATAATTCCTTGGAAAATTTACAGTATAAGCTCTCTGAGACTCTCTTTTACATTCTAGCAAAAATTGGTATTGTGACTGAAACATCCCTAATTTAATCGATATAGAATCAAATCGAATCAGGACCTTGTGAATCAAAATCGAATCGATTCAGGAAATCCGTGGCCATACCCAGCCGTAGCAACAACGACACCCCGATATCAGCAGTAACCACTGTATGAGAGCAGTGCAGAGTGGTACTGATTAGCTAGTCAGTGAGATACACACATTTGTTCTCACATGCACTACAAATGCACGTGCGATCAGAGAAGCTCAGACTACAACACACGCAGAGGGAGCATGAAATAATTTTCTGCTCAGGCCACCATTACTCCACTAAATCTTTACATAGCAAATGCAGGCAGTTGTTTGCTGCTGTATTAGTGAATGTCACATAGAGCTTCTTTAGAGGAAAAATTCACCGACTAAATGACCTTTGGAACTCCATTATACACGACATGTTACCTTGAATTCACAAAGAAAACCTTCTCGCATGCCTTCACGAAAAATGGCTAACATATTTATTTATTGATAGATTGGTGACCACGTTCAACAGCGATGAAACTATATCTTAACATTCATTTACAAACTCGTACCTTATGCAGTATAATCCAAGTCACATTTATCTGGTCCTTTGCTCAGAACGTCCAAACACATGTATTTCACTTAAAAACCTTAGTATTAGAGTCTGGCTTTAAATAAGACATGGAAATGTTTCCCTATCGGTAAAATAGTATGATTTTAGCGGAAATACATGTGTTTGGAAGCACTGAGCACGTGGCTTGATAAATGAGACTTGCAAGATTTTTCATTAAATTCATTCATCCTCTTATCCAAGCCTAAAGATTTCCGGGCAGGCCTACAGTTTTATGAGAAAGCAAACGGCAGACAACAGTCTCACTGACAGTGGCTAATTGCTGAGACATGTTGCTTCAAGTAAAAGCATTACATCAGGTTGTAAACAGTTCACACACCACACAGTTGACCCCTCTGACATAGTTCAGATGATCAAGATTTATATGAAACTTCACTGTAGGTGTGTCTGACTGAATGTGGACCAGCCTCACCTGGTTCAGTTCCCTCCACCAGACCTGGTGTGGGGCTTTCCGCCCTGTCTGTTCGAAGGCGGTCCCCAGGAGCCAGGGTACCATTCTCCCATGACACAGTCGGCCTTTGGGCTTCTCCATCCATCACTGCTACTTATGGCAGGGACACACACCTGGCAGGACAGACAGAGAGACAGAGATATAGGATCAAAGGTCAACAGCTTCGTGATTGAACCTATGGTTTAAGATCAAGCTGGTTATAATGTGTTATTATTATGACATGACCACCAGTGCGCGAGTCATTAAAACTTTATGGTCTGACTTTAACCTTCATAGTTTCTGACGTCAGAGCTGAGTATCAATCATGTTACTACAAGCAATGGCTCGTGCCGTGCTAGACTGGAAGACAAAATAACAGACTAACATTTCTCCTTCGTGTTTACACCCTCCTTTAATATGAGTCATAGGTCTGTCCTTGCTTCACACCCCTCAGCGTGAGAGAAACGCCTGATATGCTGATGAAGAACTTCAGAGGCTAACTGTCACTTTGATGGCTAACATTAGCAGATAACCAACAGTATCTAAAGCTAGCTGGGTTTGGTTTACCGCCTTCATCCTGACAAAGAGCTCTCGTGACCCGTTCAGTTATTCCCAAATTATTACCTTTCATTTTCCGGAGCTGTCTGCATTTGATGTTGTGCTCCACAACTCGCTTGTCACATTTACTGCAACCAGCGAACAAGCAGAGACAAGACTGAAATACTTTTTCTTGCTAGTCAACATGCCCTGCTAGTTACGGAAGTAGGAATTGTGGGATATGAAGTTCTCCTCCGGAGAATCGCTGTGGAGCAGTGAACAGGCCGATTTGTTTTGAACAAAACTAATTTAATTTTTGAAATGTTTGTGAATCAGTGTGTTAGCTTCTTGATGAATTATCGCATTATGTAGTTTGTGCTGTTACGTAGTTCACGTGAGGTCCTTATTTGATCTTGATGGTGAATTCACTGTACTTCGGACATCAAGGAACTGCCCTTACTAATTATTAAGATACTTAAAAAGACGCTCTGTTATTTCATATAAGATAATGGACGTCAGTCAGGAATTACCCAAAATGGTGAATTCATCTCTGTGGAATGACGGAAAACCTAGAAACTCTTTTGCCTTGGAAAGAAGTGGAAATAAAATATATATTTCCCTTATGTTCTTAATGTCTTCTACATCATATCTCTTGATATTATATATTTTTTCTTAGTGAGGTAGAAAAACATGCCTTTAATAAAAAGTTTCTAAGAACTCTTTTGTTGTCACAAAGTCATTTTCTCCGATGCAAAGCTGCCTCAGCCAATGAGAGTACAGAATATCCTCTTACACCATTTATCTCAGACAGATTGGTATGGTTTACACCTGGAACATCAGTTTTCTTTGGTCTGAAAATATTATATGTATAAATTGCACAAATTTTCATTGACGTAAAAAGCATTTATCTATGTTCCTATATGCGTTTCGTAGTGAGTGTGAGAGATATGGATAGAAAAAGAAAAATATGTAATGCAAATAAATGGGGAGGGAGTTTATCTGTTTGGCCCTGTTGAATTTTAGCTTTTCTGGTAAATATATATACATGGTTTTAAATTGAAGGCTCTGTTTTCACTTTGTGCAAAGTTAATTGTAGTAAAATACCTCGCAAGGTCATTTATAAACACTAGAAATATGGTGTACAACTACTACATTTATTCTTCTAAAAATAAGGCAAGTATACGAGCAGCACTTGAATGCAGCATAGGGGGCGGGGCTTGTGTTTGAACGTTCAGCGGGGAAACGGAAGAACCATCGTGTGTGTGTGTGTGTGTGTGTGTTTAGCTAATGATAACTGCACCAGCAGCTAACGTCAATAAAAGGGGTCTGATAGTCACTAAGTTATAACTTGACTAAAATGTCACATTCCCCATAAGTTTAGGATGCTTGGTTTCGTTACGAAGGACGTCGCAGTAACTTAACGTCTTCATTTTGTAAGTATGGTAACTGTTAATAAGGCAGCTAACGTCAACAGAGCTAACTGGTGTTAGCCTAGCGACATGTTACGAGTGCGGGGCCAGTAACGTGTCAATGTTAGCTGATAACAGCTAGCATTACAGCTTCAGACAAGCAGTTTTTGTACACACGATCACGGTTATGCTGAAGGAAAGCAGGATACTGTTTGTAAGTTAAGTAATATGGTTTACTACACTATTCATAACAGGGTAATCCTTGTGACAGCAAGATGCCTATCCGAGCATACTGCACCATTTGCTCCGACTTCTTCGATCACTCTAGAGATGTTGCTGCTATCCACTGCGGACACACTTTCCACTATGAATGGTAACCTGATATTGCAAGTTAAATCTTAAACATCCACGTTTAATGACACGTTTTCAGTGGCTAATTGTTACCGTTCACGTCTCTTCTCAGTCTTCTCCAGTGGTTTCAGACAGCACCCACAAAAACCTGTCCACAGTGCAGAAAACAGGTACAGTACTTCACACCTCCAGATGCCACCAAACTGCCAAACTAACCTGCCAAACAGAGGAAAAACTTAAATTCTGTTGTGCTTTGTGTGTAGGTCAGCACCAGACACATCATCAGCAAGCTGTTCTTTGACATTGGTGGAGAGGATGAGTGCACAGCGGACCCTGAAAGCCTGCAGGTACCAAGCATATAAGGGAATCTTTTGCTTGATAGTCCTTGTCATTACATCATCTAGATTTGAATTACAGAGTCATATTTTTTGTGTGTGTTTCTGTTTCTCAGAATGAGCTTGATCGAATGAGGGCACTTTTAAGCTCTAAAGGTAAGACACCTAGCTATGTTATGATTCAGTGATGCTTTGAGTGTTGAAAGTAGACAGCACAAGCTCATCATCTGTCTGATTAATTTGTAGAGCAAGACTGGCGGGACAGACAGAAGATGGTGGAAGGTTTGAAGGACACTGTGGACAAGCAGAGGAGAGATCTGGACTGTGTTCGGAAAGAGATCATGGAAAAGGAGATGCTGTGTTCTGCCCTCAGAGTAAGCCGTCTGCTCTGTTGTTTAAACCCATATTCTGTACTGACTCATACCCCAAACTGTCCCTGCAATACCTTTTTGTTTATTTGTGTAATTGTTTGTGACAGAAACAGATGACATACCTGGAGACACAACAGAATGAAACTCAGGCTGCCAAGGAGGAAGCCCGGAGACTCAGGACCAAGATGAAAACATTTGAAAGGTATCTGCATTCAGATAAGTACTGTCACATTAGGCTTCTGATTAGGGTCCCGCGTTATTAATCACAATATTGACTGTTCTGCAAGTGTGTAAACATTGGTCTTGAATATCTCAGTATTTATAGTATGATGCTGTTTTGGGTATGTCTATGAACTTAAGCTTATATAAATTAAATTAGGGGTGATTGGATCGCTGAAAAAGTCATTATGAGTAATTTGAAGATACTAAGTTTTACACATATACATATACAAGGTATTTAAGTTTATATATCACAATAATGATAACAGGACAATCAGAATTCTTAAGATTGAGTTTCGTATGATGGTATTTTAAAATATCTAAAAGCTTTGCATAGTCTTTTATCATTGTTGATGAAATAGTCATGCTGTGCACTAATACTACTGGTTTGGCCCCAGCCTGGATGTGTTGTTGCAGGGCCAGAGAGCAGAGGTGGAGTCCATGATCACAGATATGGGTGTCAGCCAGGCGGCGGTGGAGCAGCTCTCCATCTATTGTATTTCGCTCAAAAAGTAAGAAGGATCACAGTGAGGGATCATTTTCAAACTACATTGTTTTAGAGCTTCGGTCCTAATGAATGCAGCTTCCCAGTCGTCACTGACCACACACTCACTTTTATTCCTCCCTTTCCTGTTTTAGAGAGTATGATAATCTGAAAGGAAGCCTGAAGTCTTCAAATGACATGTGTGAGAAGCTGAAGAGAGAAGTGCTCTCCTCAAACAACAAGGTAACTTTATCCTAGCAGGTCACCACAAACAGATGAATCCATTCTTGATTGTGGAATCTCTGTATTAAAGGTTTTGTGTGTCATTTTAGTTACACAAAGCCACAGTGGAGGTGAATCAAACCAAAGAGGACATGAAGTCTCTGCAGAACGATCTGGCCAATGCTGACAAAGAGATCTCTGTAAGACAAATCCACCAAATCTACTTTTACTTCCATTATCAGAGTATGTCATGGTCTTGATTCCTGCATGTGTGTCTATCCACAGAGTCTGAAGAAGAAAGTGGAGTTTCTTCAGAGGACTCTGAGCACCCCAACGCGGACAAATGAAGCTCTCAGTCGACTTGTCTTTGAAAGGTGTGTCACCACACCACTGGACTGAAATCTCTACAGCTTTCACTTGTCTAATCTTAAACCATGTGTGATTTACCAATGAGGTTTCTGCGCTTATCTTTCAGCCCGGCCCCAATGGAGCTGAAGCAGCCTCACTTCCACCAGCCTGCAGACAGCGAGGACATTGACCTCAACCTGACTTACGATGTCACTACGCCAGATGATGTGGCGAAGAAACCAACACACTTTAAGTCAAAGAAGATGCGGCTCGATCCACCAGCGTACGTTTGATATAGCTCATTGTGGAAATGTGTGTGTTGATCTGTTCTGAAGCAGATGTATAATCTGCTGCTGTGTGAGCCATGTCAGGGCTCGACAGTAACGGTTGCCATTGGCTACCAATTTGAGAAATTGGCAACCAGTTCTTGGCCTCTGGCAACCACTTTTTAACACATAAAAGATATAGACAGTAAACAACAAAACATGCATGTAAAAATAAATAAATTTTCAATATTAGTTACATAACTGATATTTAAATATTGCTGTAACAGCTGGAACCTCAATCAGACAATGCTACATGTTAATTTACTCACATGGGCATCTACTGTGATTTTATATACCAGGGATTGAGGGTGGACATGTTCACTGATAACACTTAGGATTCAAATTCTGTTTAGATTTAGATGAAACAGACACTACACAGAATTTTGTTCAGTTTCTTCAGTAGTTTTTTAATAATTATTTATGTCCAATTTTTATTATTAAGCTGATGTACAACTGCATAGTTTCTATTACTCAAAATATAAGGTGACTAAAAATGGCAACCATATGTTCAATTTCAGCAACCAGACGATGCTCGGTTGCCAGTCTGCCAACCACTTTTATGAGTCCTGCATGTGTTCAAAATATAGTGTTTTGCAATCTGTGTTTTTGTGTACTAAATATAAAATAGAAATGCCTTAATGTTATGTTAACGCTTTATTTTTCAGATCATCTGTGCCCAAACACACTGAGAAAAAATCATCTCTAAGCAAGGTAGGTTTGTAAATGTCTCTCAGCAAGGTCTGTTTTAAAATCAGTTGCACATATCTCACTATATTTTTCTTACCTCAGGCTCGAGATGAGGACGTATCTATGGATCCTTTTTTGAGGAACTCCCTTCTCTTCAGAAAGAAGACTCTCGGTAGCATGTTGGACCCTCAGAGGAAGATTGGCGCTGTACGTACAACACAACCATTTCCTGCATTTCAGGTGGAAAGTTTCAGTGTGTTGTTTAGTCATTTTAAGTTTTTTATTTAAAAAAACATTTCTTGTTTCAGGTGAGATCTGGTTATGATGGTTTAGGAGGACGTACTAAATTCATCCAACCTGTATCCTTTTTGTCATGTGGAATGTACGAGTGTTACTTGATTTGAATGAGTTCGTCTGATTGTTGATGGCGAGGTGTTTAGTAGTTGGGTGTTCAAACTATTTATCTTGGCCATGTCGATGCTTACTTTTGGTAGAATGTTATCCCAAACAAATCAAAGCAGCTTGTTTAAGGTGTATTGCAATATTCAAATAAATTAAAGCTGCACTAAGATTTTTTTAATGTAACCTGCCCTGCTTTTAACAGCAGACAGACACAGGTGTGAACATTCTATAGTGGAGCATTTAGCAGCTTAAGAGCCAGATATATTTCTCATGGGTTGGTGGGGATCAAACCAGAGTTTACATATTGGACTTTAAGTGCATTCATCAGATGGCCATAAACCTGGCTTATGTTGCTAACATGTTTCCCATAACAACTTTATAAAGTGATATTATGTCAGTGTTGTGTTTTGGGGACATTTTTAGATGAATATGCATGGAAGAATTGAAAACTCATTGGCAAATATACATACCAGGAAATGATTAGGACAGATAACAAATCAGTGTGTGAACTACATTCCTTAACCAAGTGCTCCACTGCAGTCTCCTTTATCAGAGATTCGCCCGCTGATGAAAGCTAAAAGGAAAAAGGTAACCAGGCCTCAACCCAAGATTACAACTTGCCTGACTCTGGACAGCTTCCTCGAGTAAATGTTAACCTCTCTCTCCCTGGATGTGGAGCCTAAGGTCAGGATTCTGTGTGATGTAGCATGTTTGTGCTGCTCTGGCACACAGAACCAGTCTGGCAGCGGTTCTGCCACTCAGCACCAAACAGGACTCTCTGATTGAACTTATTTAAAAGCAGTAACGGATCCTGCACCTGACGACGGATACTGAGCTTTTGGTGACATCAGCAAAGCTGCTGTACATTTTTGTGTGATGACTTGAACTTGTATGTGGAGATTGTGTCCGGACCAGCCTCTGCATTAGAGCCTTTTCTTGTTGTTGATATGTGGGTGTGTGTATGTGTGTGAGACAAACTGACTTATTTGCGGACCAACCAAATGTCAGTGCTCTATATAATGTCATTGGTTATCGCTGATGCATCTTTTCTCTACTCCGAAAAATAATCAGTTATTTTTCACACTTATTTAAAACCTGAAACACCAACATGTCGATATACTTTAGGTATTTTTAGTTTCACTGGTCCTGCCAGATGTAAATCAACTCAAATAATAAACAATATTTTTTTTTATTAAGGTTTGTGTGGGGTCTACAAACAATTCCCTCTTGGCTGTGTTTTTTTTTTTTTTTTTTTTTTTTAAGTCACAAACATTTCACTGAGGTGTGCTTTCCTGCAGAGGGCAGTACAAACAGTCTTGTCTCACATGAGGACATGAATCTTTCAGTCCTCCTGTGCCGTGAGGGAAAATGTACTGTACATGGTAACTGCTGAAACCATTTGTATTGAAAAGGCTGCGCCAGCACAGAAGGAGCTCCTCCAGAAAAACATGATTTAAAACACCTTCAGTAAAACCTGAGTTGCACATTGTGATCAAGTAACAAAAAGTAGACTGCAAATGATATCCTGGCAATGAAGGGACGGTTGTTAATCTTGGGAGTTACCTCATTAAATGAATGATGCTTGCAGAAATGAGAACTTGTAGTGAAAGAGGACCTTTCATGGCACAAAATTAATAAATAATAACTGATGACATGAAGTCAGAAACAGAATGAGAGTAGAACGGACATTGAACAGTTTGCCATGGTCATTTGATGAACAAAAGAAAATGTGATTGATGTTAGTTTTTATTGAGAAGACACACGTCAGTGCGTCACACTCACTTGAGAACTCTGTTTTGGCCTATTCTTCTTATACCTATTTTTCATCACTAAACAGGAAAATAAATTCGTACACCAATCCAAGTTTTTCTCTTTCAGCGAACTAAACATTAGCTTAACGTCATTGTTAACTCTTCGTGGAACACACTTCATTCAAACTCGACAAAAGCAAAATAAAATTCACCAAAACCACCTTAGTCATCTCATCTAATTCACTGAGTTAGATGAGATAATATGCTGATTTGCACGATGTTTTCCCCAGGGTCTCATTCTACCACCCAGCTGTCCACTGAGCAGCGTCTTTTTCTCGTACTTTTGAGGCAGCTACAGTACATATTGTTTCAACAGTCATGCAGTCAATGGCAACAAAAGAAACGGGGAAATAGCAGTTACGGAGTTGAGTCATGGTTAAGTGACGGATTGCATATTTGAAAATGTACTCAACTGTTCATTTGGTCCTTACTGCAAACCTCATAAGAGAGCTCAGAAATTGCTGCAAGTGAGTTTGCGCATAAGGAAGTTTATATAGAAGGTAACCCACTGCAATTTGCAATGGCAATGCATCCACATAAAAATAGCCACCACTCTGACCATCCTCAGGGCTATTTAGTGAATTCTGGGACACGCTCTTTGACCCCATGGGAGCTATGGAGTATGACACATGCACAGTGTAACTAGACCCATGATGTTGGAGGGCTACAGCAGACAGCACTAGAAATAAAGGGACAGTGTCTGCTCAGGTGCTCTTTGGGTGCGCTCAGCCTGATGAACTTTTGGTTACACTCAATTCAATGGCAGCCCAAATACAATATAAGGTTTGCATGAAAGTATTTGATTATGGTCTTTTATGATTGACTTTTTCAATAATTATAGAATTGTAATTCTCACCCATATCTTTATTTTTCGTTCAAATATATTCCAACCCAAGGCTGACTGCGGACACTTCAATGAGCTGAATCAATCATCCCCATGTTGAGCTATTCAGCAAGTGCAGACCAGATTTCACCGCGCACGTGTTGTACCCATTTGGTATGACATGATATGACACCATGACTTCTATTTTTAACGTCCTTGACCATCTTGCGATGTTGATTTCAATGTTAATGTCCATTCTACTGTCATTCTATTTCTATGCACTGGGCTTTTTGACAGGGCTCCCATGCATGAAAAAAACAGTAGCTTGCCCATGACTTTGGCATGTTGCCTTACCGGCTGACGTTCGAGGAGATTGCTTGATATTTTGACAAACAATATAGGGAAATGCCAAACATTGTTTTCCACTGCGGAGAAGTAAAAGTACCAGGTAGAAGATAAATATCCTGCTCGTAATCACTTGTATCCTGTTTGCACGCATGGATCTACAGCTTCCACAATGAAAGCCAGATTGTACCTTAATACATATACAACACTACTTTAAATAAAATGCTTTGTTGCATTAGTGATTGGACATTGAATGATTCTGCTGTGAGTGATTATAGTAAAGTGGTTAATTATACATCCCCAGGGGACTTCATCAGAAATAGTAACAGGACATGGTGGTGCATTTTAAGAACTGGTTCCTTCCAGTGCAATCAGAAGAAAAAGTCACGACACCCCTTATGAACAATATTTCAAAACACTCATGTACACATAAAACACACAATCCATGCAGTGCTTTTGGAGCCAGTTAACAATGCTTTGTTGACCCCGAGGGATTCCACATACATGTACATCTTCCTGTAGGGTAAAGGTCGCCATTTAAAAGTATTTTTTCCTAATCAGTATTTCCCAGGGAAAGTTAAAACTAACAATACCTCCTCATCCAGCTGAGGTGTATATGTGGATGTTGATACAAAAGAAGAACAAACCTTACGTCAGTGTCCTTTCAGTTCTTCTTAAAGTGTACTAAAAAGTTGTTAATTTTAAGTGTGAGCATTTTCTATTTCCTTCTGTGTTTCATTCCAGGTTCAGTAGATCTGAGTTCTCTAAATAAGTGTGAAAAGAAATAACATCCAGGGATGTCTTCACTGTTCTTCAATCCATAGTAAAGGGGAGAAGAAGAAAAATAATCCGGCCAAAACTAGGAAAAAATGCTGATTTTTCAGCAGCTATCTCAGTCTGTGCTTGAGATATTAGGTGATAGAAACATGGACCCAGTTTCATTTGTTTCACTGTGATCTGTCTGGCTCAATCTTGGACTCTCCGTTCTGTTTGTCGTTGGACTTCTGGGACAGGTGCGTGGACACAGTGGCTGCCTGCACCACAGCTTTGAAGCTGCGCTTTCTCTTCTGGACGTTCTGCTCCGGGTGGAAGATTATGACGTAGACCTTAGGGATGTAGAGCATGCCCAGGGACACGGTGGCACTCAGGCTCATGGACACTGTCAGGGTGGTGGTCTGGATGAACATCTGCAACAGAGACATGGCAAGTCAGAAAGATCCCTACACACACCTGTGCTAACAGTTACTGAACAAATTATTGATTAATTTCCTAGGAACCTTTAAAGGTCCAGTGTGTAGGATTTAGTTAATTTAGTGGCATCTAGCGGTGAGGATTGCAGATTGCAACGAGCTGAAACTTCACTTAGTCAGATTACAGTGTTCATTGTTGAGGAGGTTTTTACCAGTTTCTTCCTCTCCAAAACAAGCAGACCAGGTAATTAAAACAGGTAAAAACACAAGGTAAAGCAGTTTCACATTACAAATCAGTGTTTCTCCTACGCTGCTATGCTCGTCAGAGGCGGGTCGCTAGACCTAAGGTGTGCTCACCAATTTTCTCTGGTAACTTAAGACCAGACATTCAGGAGGTTTTCACAGGGAGCTTAATTATCCACAGAGGTCTCTTCCTCTCCAAAACAAACAGATCCCATGGTTAAAACTGGAAAAAACACTGAATAAAACATGGTGAAGCTGCTTTTAGTTTCTATGCTACTCAAATTGCCAGAAGAGCAAAGACTTGAGACAGTGCTGAGCACTTTCAAATCCAAGTTAAAGAGATATCTTCTCACCAATGTGTTTAATTAATTCTCTTTTAAATCAATTTTTATTTGTTTGTTTTTTTGGTTGTCATTCAAACAAATGATGACAACAATAAAAGCAAGCACTCAAAAGATTGCATAGAAACAAAGGCAAACAGGCGAAAGCACGTGGAGTGAAACAAAAAAAACAGAACATACAATCAAAAGCACATAGTTTTTGACTGTTTAATTGTTTTACTTTGGGTGCTTTTACCCATTTGCCTTTGTTTCTGTTCTGTGCTTCTGATTGCTTTTATTGATTGTATCATTTGTTTCTTGTGTTTTTACCTATGCCTACCTGTCAGTTTTTCGCCATCCAGTAGTTTGGAATAAACGTACGAACAGCTGAACGAGTCATAATGACGATCTCACCGTATATATGTTTAACCATATTTTAGCAGAATAACACTACTCAAATTCACAATGTGTTAAAACTAGATAAGTTTTTTTTAATCATACACACTCACTTGACAATCAACAGGCAACTGAACTGAGGAAGAAGCCAGTTAGCAGCCTGTTAGCTAAGCTAGCACAATGTCATTCAGCCTCTCCGAAATCCACTGCAAAAGTTTTGCAGGCACATCGGATATCACAGAGATTCCCATAGGAATGAATAGACTTCCAGATGCCTCGTCTTCATACACATACATAAGTGGAAGTGAAGCATTAATGATCTGTGTTTTTCTGACACCGCTTGTGAGAACGTGAATGGCCCTATATAGAGCCAGTGTAACATTTGTCTTTTCTGGGCTACTGTAGGAACATGGTGGTGCAACATGGCGATCTCTGTGGATGAGGACCTGCTCCCTGTGTAGCCAGAAATTGCTCATTCTAAGGTAACAAAAACACCATTCTTAGTTTGAGATGATTATACACTAAAGAAAACATTATTATATATTCCATTTCTGCCAATATATCCCCCTAAATCCTACACACTGGACCTTAAAGTACCCGTCCGTTTGCTGTTAAATATTGATTATTATCTTGCATAAGTTCAAGAAAATAGGCTGTCATCTCATAGGTTGTCACAATGCAGTTAACAGTTTTCATCTCGAAGCACAGGAGGCAGGGTTTTTCCCCTGTTGAATGATTTATGACCTGGTATATGTAGTCAGGAAAGGAAGCTCTATTTATGGCCTTTGACCACGTCTACTCTTCACTGCTCTTCCTCTTATTGCACATCCAACAGTAATAATGAGAAGAGACTTCTCCCGAGATCTGCCTCCAATAAATTATGAACTCATTATTCAAGGAAACTCTACAAGTCATAAATAAATCAAGCCATATGTGCCATAATAAATAAGATATATTTGTGCTATAAATAAGTGATAAATTGTACACTATCCCCAGCAGCTGCGGCAGAACATCCTGGTGTCTCACAGGCTGATGTCCATACAGTATAGTTTCTTTTATCATCTCTGTCATGCTTTTCATGGGTGACCTCTGTGTTTGTAAAAGCAGCTGCGGTGATTGTATTCATGTGCTTGGCCTGAGGCGAGACTGGCTCAGGAACAGTGAATGGTTGTTCCATATGTACAGACATGAAGCAGGTAAATCACCTCCTCCTACACGTGGTCTTACATATGATGGGAGAGTAACAGCCATTATTTTCATGCGCCAGACAAAAGTTAGCGTCTATATTTAGCTCTTTTCCTAAGTGATGATTAATTGAATTGGATGGCTGATTTGGTCTACGAGGGGTCCCTACCGTCCCTCAGCTCATCTGACCTCCTTTCTTCCCTCCCTCCTTTTCCTTAATTCACTTCATTTCCATTCGGAGGAGGTGAAAAGACTTTGAAAGCACCTCAGGCTTTAATTGTTTCAGCCTGACTGATTCATAATACAGCTCTCTATTAGTCAAAACCTATCTCTGTTTTTCAAATATTCCCCCAACAGCCTCGTACTTTGTGACTGCAGAAATAGCCCACAAGCTAAATTAAACTCTCAGTACAGTGGAGGCAGGATGTCCTGTGAGTACAGCAGGAAGCAAATATGATATGACAGGCAACAAACTCAGATTTCACGTTGAACATCTGAGGGATTCATTTACTCTCTTACTATTAGTGTGTGTTATTGTGTAGCACATCATTTAGATTCACCTCATTATTTAAGATACTGCCATTAATATATGCGATTCAAGAGTAAAGAGACTCGAGGGACATTTAATCTATCTGTGGGGGATTAATAAAGTACTTGTGCTTTTTCTTAAATTACTTAAACAAAAATGAATGTACAGGGTTCCCATGGGTCCTTGAAACCTGAAACATTTGTGAATTTGAGAAAAATTGAATGTTTCTGAAAACAGACATCAATAGCCACAGTTCATCCAAAGTACTTAAATATATACAGTACAAGCCAAAAGTTTGGACACACCTTCTCATTCAATGCGTTTTCTTTATTTTCATGACTATTTACATTGTAGATTCTCACTGAAGGCATCAAAACTATGAATGAACACATGTGGAGTTATGTACTTAACAAAAAAAGGTGAAATAACTGAAAACATGTTTTATATTCTAGTTTCTTCAAAATAGCCACCCTTTGCTCTGATTACTGCTTTGCACACTCTTGGCATTCTCTCCATGAGCTTCAAAAGGTAGTCACCTGAAATGGTTTTCCAACAGTCTTGAAGGAGTTCCCAGAGGTGTTTAGCACTTGTTGGCCCCTTTGCCTTCACTCTGCGGTCCAGCTCACCCCAAACCATCTAGATTGGGTTCAGGTCCGGTGACTGTGGAGGCCAGGTCATCTGCCGCAGCACTCCATCACTCTCCTTCTTGGTCAAATAGCCCTTACACAGCCTGGAGGTGTGTTTGGGGTCATTGTCCTGTTGAAAAATAAATGATAGTCCAACTAAACGCAAACCGGATGGGATGGCATGTCGCTGCAGGATGCTGTGGTAGCCATGCTGGTTCAGTGTGCCTTCAATTTTGAATAAATCCCCAACAGTGTCACCAGCAAAACACCCCCCACCATCACACCTCCTCCTCCATGCTTCACAGTGGGAACCAGGCATGTGGAATCCATCCGTTCACCTTTTCTGCGTCTCACAAAGACACGGCGGTTGGAACCAAAGATCTCAAATTTGGACTCATCAGACCAAAGCACAGATTTCCACTGGTCTAATGTCCATTCCTTGTGTTTCTTGGCCCAAACAAATCTCTTCTGCTTGTTGCCTCTCCTTAGCAGTGGTTTCCTAGCAGCTATTTGACCATGAAGGCCTGATTGGCGCAGTCTCCTCTTAACAGTTGTTCTAGAGATGGGTCTGCTGCTAGAACTCTGTGTGGCATTCCTCTGGTCTCTGATCTGAGCTGCTGTTAACTTGCAATTTCTGAGGCTGGTGACTCGGATGAACTTATCCTCAGAAGCAGAGGTGACTCTTGGTCTTCCTTTCCTGGGTCGGTCCTCATGTGTGCCAGTTTCGTTGTAGCGCTTGATGGTTTTTGCGACTCCACTTGGGGACACATTTAAAGTTTTTGCAATTTTCCGGACTGACTGACCTTCATTTCTTAAAGTAATGATGGCCACTCGTTTTTCTTTAGTTAGCTGATTGGTTCTTGCCATAATATGAATTTTAACAGTTGTCCAATAGGGCTGTCGGCTGTGTATTAACCTGACTTCTGCACAACACAACTGATGGTCCCAACCCCATTGATAAAGCAAGAAATTCCACTAATTAACCCTGATAAGGCACACCTGTGAAGTGGAAACCATTTCAGGTGACTACCTCTTGAAGCTCATGGAGAGAATGCCAAGAGTGTGCAAAGCAGTAATCAGAGCAAAGGGTGGCTATTTTGAAGAAACTAGAATATAAAACATGTTTTCAGTTATTTCACCTTTTTTTGTTAAGTACATAACTCCACATGTGTTCATTCATAGTTTTGATGCCTTCAGTGAGAATCTACAATGTAAATAGTCATGAAAATAAAGAAAACGCATTGAATGAAAAGGTGTGTCCAAACTTTTGGCCTGTACTGTATATATTTTGTGCAAGAAAAGAAATACTCTGTATCAACTGCTGAACTTACACAATATATTGTTTTGTTGTGCTGTTAGAGAAGACAGGACACCACACTGTCTGCCATCACTGTAACACAGCACCACTGAGAAGTGTTCACACATTCAAGCCTCTCTTTTTAATCGGTGTCTGTGTGCTTCACCAAAGTCCGCTACTTCTCATTATAAAAATTCTCAATCTTGTAACGGTAATTCAACTTGATCCGGGTCTCGAACCTTACAGTGTTGGGTCCTTGGATTTCAAGAAGTTGGGTCTGAAAAGTCCTTATTTCCTGAATTTGATGTTGAAAAAGATGTGGGAACCCAGAATGGGATTGATCTTTACAAAAGAATCTATTAGATGATCAATCAATAGATAATACTATAAAGCAAATAAACATGTCATTAGTTATTGCACAGTAGCCAGAATGAATGAGAGTTTGTTGCTATGATCTTTAAAGTTTAAACATTCAGGGGATGAGAGCATTTGTTTTATTCAACAGCAGAGAAAATAACATGCATAAATTAAAGCTGAGAAAATATTTCCTTTTTTAATTTCCTTTTTCAAAACAGTGCTGCAAAACATGTTCTGGTGGCAGCCCCTCAAATGTGAATATTTGCTGGGAAGTTTCTGCTTATCAATTGATAATGAATTTATTTGGGTAGAAATTTAATTCTAAGTAATGCAGGGTGCCTGCAGGTCCTTAAAACACCTTAAAATGTCTTAAATTCAATGTTATAGATATTAGGCCTCAAAAGTAATTAAATAGTCTTAATTTGTGGGTCTTAATTGCCACAAACATTTTATCTTATTGAATTTGTCCATCGTTTTTTTTTTTTTTTTTTTAAAGATATTTTTTGGGGCATTTCTTTGCCTTTATTTGACAGGACAGACAAGTCTGTCTTTTCTTTTCTTTTTTTGGTCAAAGTGAGTCAAGCTCTTCTGCACTAAAGTCGATTAACCCAACTTACTCTAATAACCACTGTCTAACATAAAAACCTTTATACTTACCTTACCTGCTATGCTTTATTTGGAAAAAGATGATTTGTCCAAACATTTGTACTGAATTTGGAAAAAAAATATTTTGAAAAGGTCTTTAAAAAACATTAAATTAAAGTGTCTAATATTTGTAGAAACCTCATAATAGTTGCAATATCACACTATAAAAATACTCCATTACAAGTAAAAGTCTTGCCTTCATGATTTTACTGAAGTGCAGATGTAAAAAAAAAAAAAAAAGTGTTAGCTGCAAAATATACTACATCACTTCTGAAAGTGGTGTCCCCCACTGTCAATTTAACACTTCTTTGCTGTGGGCATGTCTGCTACCTACTGGGAAAGGTGTGCTGTTAGTTAGCCGTTAGTTTGCTTGTTTATGAAAACACATTGGTTACACCTGTGTAGTTCCTTCTTGCTGCATGTCTACAAACTGTATGATAGTCCTTGTGAGGGGCACAGAAGAGAAAGGGGATTGTGCTTGATCAACCAGCATTATGTGGTGGGCCACAGTATATTTTGAACAACAACCCAGGGACTGTTAAAAATCGGTCTGTGGACCACGATTGGCCCCTGGGCCAGACTTTGGACACTCTTGACTGAGGTGGAGCTAATTTAAACTACTTTATATACTGTTGAGTAGTTCAGTCTGTAAATGCATAATACTTTAGAAGTTGATAATGTTTTATTGTCAAAATCTTGATCTTCAAAGTACCTGCTAATTTCCCTCTGAAATGTAGTGGGGTTGAAGTATAATGCAGCGTAATGTTAAGTACCCCAGTGCCTCTACTTCCAGGAGAACCCACAAAATTGTTAAATGTCCCACCTTCTCTGTAGACTGTGCAGTGCCAAAGAAGATTGGTACAAAGGCCAGCCAGATGATGCAGGTCGTGTACATGGTGAAGCCAATTGGTTTGGCTTCGTTGAAGGTCTCAGGAACTCCTCTGCTCTTGATAGCGTACACAGTGCAGGTGATCATCAGTACGATACTGTAGCTCAGACACAAGATAAGGGACAGGTCGGACATGTCACACTTGAGGACCCCACGGGCGAACTCTGGGTTTGGGGGCTTCTGCTCCTCATAGTCGATGATGGTGTGCGGAGGCATCACACCAAACCAGATGAACACCCCAAGTAACTGCAGAGAGAGGAGCGTTAGTCAGAGTGCAACAGAAAATCTAGGTGATGTGTATAAAAGAAGCATCCACATTCATACCTGCACTGAGATGAGTATAAAAGTGATAATCAGCTGAGAGGTGGGACTGATGAATTTGGGGGGCGTGACCGACTTCTTGCCCTGTTCGAAGATTCGGTAGATCCGATTGGTCTTGGTGAGCATGGCGGAGTAGCTGATGCACATGCCGAGCCCCAGCAGCAGCCTGCGAAAGGCGCATACGGCTATGCTGGGCTCGGCTATCATGAGGAAGGTGATGAAGTAGATGAGGAAGATGCCCGTCAGCAACACATAGCTGAGCTCTCTGCCTGAGGCTCGAACAATGGGCGTGTCGTTGAAGCGGATGAAGGTGATGATGACTCCACTGGTGGCCAGGATGCCCAGGATGGCCAGGAAGACTGGGATGATGGCCCAGGGAGAACTCCACTCCAGCTTGATGATGGGTGTGGGCCGGCAGCCTGTGCGGTTCTTTAAGGGCCTCATGTCGAATGGGCACATGTCGCAGCTGAACTCATCCAGCAGGTACTGGTAGCCATCACAGAGCTCGCAGTGCCAGCAGCAGGGAACGCCCTTCACCATCTTTTTTCTCTCTCCAGACTCACAGGGAAAACTGCACACCGACTCCGGGATCTTACGGTCACCACCTGACCACTGCATCTCCTCCGACTAGGGTGGATAAGTAAACACACCAACTAGTAAGAACTGTCTGAGACTTTGTATCAGGCTAAAAACTGCTGCCATGAAGCTGATTTTAACCAATTTTAACCAATCGGTTGTCCCCAAATAATTTTAGAATCGCAACTAATGTCCGCAGCTTAATTGTCATTTCATGTGCAGTTCGAAGGGATACTTCACTTACAAAGTCACCATTTGTGTATCAGTTAGTCATGCCATGTTACCTTGAATTCATTAAGATAACATTTTTTTTCGCATGCGTCCACTACGTCAAAACGTCCCTTAACAAACTCTCACACAATTAGTCCAGTATAATTCAAGTTATTCACGTCGTATGCTCAGTACTTCCTAAACACATGCATTTTCTATTTAAAACTGAGCTGAAAGTGAAACTTATCTATGCTCTCTTTGCAGCCAGACTCCAACACTAAGGTTTTTTTTTTATGTTTAGCTATAGCTTTGCTGTTGTTAAATATGGTCCCCAATAAATCAATATGTCCACCATGACACATGTGAGGAAGAGAAAGTTTTCTTTGTGAATTCAAGATAACACGTCATAACTGATACTCAACTGTGGGTGAAGTATTCCTTTAAGACACCTCAATGATCAACAGTGTGGCTCTGAGAAGATCAGCTGGATTTCAGGCAGGTCAGAAATTTTGGTGCTGTCCTGCCAATTTGAACAATTACATCATCTGAATTGTCAAAAGATCCATTATAAACTGTAGTGAGCTTGTTTTATTATTATTATTTTACATGTTGTGGCTGAAACTGGGGTCTTGAGACTGTTAAAACCAAACAGTGTTTGCCCAGCTACAGAGGAAGCACAATCCATGAGACGGAGGGATATGATACATCCAGGCAAGTCGATATGGAGAAAATCAAATGTCGCAATATTTTTGACCAAATAACTCAATATTGATATTGCAGTGATATTATAAGGTTGACTATCGGTGCTTTCACAAAATATTCACACAATGAGATTTTAGAAAAATAATCGTCAATAATGCGGATACAACGACTGAGTGGGTAAAGGCAAAAAAAACCCAAAAAAAAACGCTGGAACAATCTGGTAAATTTACATCACTTTACTGTAATGTAGCTTTTATCAAATCAGGAAAAGACAAAAATATATTACAAAAGCCAAAATCTAAAACAACACCACTTTCATGTTTGTATGCTAACTATGTAGCTAGAGCAAGCAGCTGGTTAGCTTAGCTTAGCACAAAGACTGGACACAAGGAAATTGCTAGCATGGCTCTTGTAAATTCCAGAAAGTTACTACACTTGGCCAGGAAAAATCTGTTGTATAATCCACCATGTGACATTTTTCTACAAATTAAAAACCAAGATATAATGTAATAATTAGTGAGCTATATATCGGTGCTGGCAGGCAGTTTTTTGTTGGGGTGTTTGTTTGTTTTTTTACCTTTGGACTGAGCCACACCAGCTGTTTTTCCTGTCTTTATGCTAAGATAAGCTAAGCTAATTGCCTGCTGGCTCTGGTTAGCTTACAGACATGAGAGTTGGTCCAACCTTCTCAAAATGTTTAATTATTAGTAGGACTTTCAGTTGTACCTAAAATGTAACAAAAACGAATATTTACATTGAGGCGGAGGTGGTTTGTCCACTGGCCGATAACCTTGTAGCCGGGGTTGCTGACATTAGACAGTTGGTACTGGAAGATGTCGTAACGACCAGGAGCGTCTCCGTTCTCATTGAACATCACTCCAGTTCCTGCGCTGCCTGTTAGATGGAGACAGAGTTTTAATGGCTTGTCTGCTATCAAAAAAGCAAAGTGAGTCAAAGGGGAGGAGGAAGTCAAACTCTCTAAGATAGAGATACACACCCCCATCTTTAGTGGTGAAAACACCCACATACTGTTAAATACAGCTAGTGTTTGCTGCCTTCAGTTTTGTGCAATCATGTGAAAGCTGAGTGCAGGATGCTCTTTGGTGAAGGCTCTCCTCCATGCGTACCATCTTTCAGTGCACTCTGCTCTGTTGCCCTAACGCGATTGAATGTTCCTCTCGGGTCCCTGCAGGCGCTCAATCAGAAAATCTTCCATACAAGCTAAGGTCATCCAGCAAGAGGAGAGCAGTAAATAGGATGCTTTCATAGAACACTTTTTTTTTCTTTTTAAAAACTGTGACGTTTTTATGAAAGACGAGGATAAAAAGCCGGAGCATTGTGTATAGGGAAGAGCGAGGAGGCAGCCCTAGGGAGGGGACGTGCTTTGAAGAAATGTGCTATGCTCTGTAGCTAGGTACATTAGCAGAAACATCTCAAGGCTTCCGACTTCAAGATGACCTCCCTTCTATTGTTTGCTTTTTAAAATGTGCCTCTTTTCAAATCTGCAGTGACACTGAGCAGCCGTGGAAAAGTTCCTCCAGCATAAATCTCCCTGAGGGTTTCTCGTCAATTTTGATCAAAGAAATAAAACCATTTTAATGTAAACCATCACACGCTGCATGAGAAAGGAGAAAAAACAGATTGAAAGTCAAAAGCTCACCATTGAAGTTGACTGAGCGAATGTATTGGAGCAGATTCCGTCCTTCCACGGGGTCCATCTTCTCACAGACACCCATGTAGCCAGGACACAGGTCCATGTGCATGCTGTGTAAAGCGTGGGCCATAGCGTACACAGCATCAATCACAAACTGCACCTTGCCCTCCTGTTCGTACTGAGAGTGCTGACTGATCCTCTCCTCACCTGAGGGGTGACAAAAGAGTCGAAAAATGATGAAAACACAAACCTGCTCATAAACAAAATTAAGATATGTTTAAAATGTCACTTTAAAGCACTTCCCTGTACGTTAAATAGCAGCCTGCTTACCTGTACATTTTCTTCTACCAAGTTCATACTTTACACCAGGGCGGGTTAGTTTACACTTGAAGTCGTCCTCCCAGAATTCTGCAAACCAGATGTTTCTTCTGTTGTTTTCCAGAGATCTTGAAGTGAAGTACTGGTCGAACCCTGAATCATTTCATAAAGCAGACATGTTTGTGTTTTATGAAAATGTCATGCATGCTTTAAAACCACAGCACTCATATTGATATCAGTATATCAGTCATTTTATTGTGCTGATATTAGGGATTGACATTTTAAGTGATTTCCATATTCGAGTATTCGCATTAAATTTTCAAGTACCCGAGTACTCTCAAAAAAAATAAATCCAACATAGAAAAGGGTCCAAAATGAACACCCACCTATCTGTGCTGCACAGACTATAGAGATTAGCTGTGATTTCAACATTACATACATACATACATACATACATATATATATATATATAGATACATACATATATATACATTCACCAGCCACTTTATTAGGTACACCTGTTCAACTGCTCATTAACACAAATAGCTAATCAGCCAATCATGTGGCTGCAACTCAATGCATTAAGGCATGTAGACATGGTCAAGATGACCTGCTGAAGTTCAAACCAAGAATCAGATTGGGGAAGAAAGGTGATTTAAGTGACTGAACGTGGCATGGTTGTTGGTGCCAGATGGGCTTGTTTGAGTATTTCATTGCTGATGCACACAACCATCTCTAGGGTTTACAGAGGATGGTCCCAAAAAGAGCAAATATCCAGTGAGCAGCAGTTCTCTGGGTGAAAATGCCTTGTTGATGCCAGAGGTCAGGGGTGAATGGCCAGACTGGTTCAAGATGATAGGAAGGCAAAGGTTACTAGAATAACCACACCTTACAACCAAGGTATGCAGAGGACCATCTCTGAATGAACAACCAAACTTTGAAGCAAATGGGCTACAGCAGCAGAAGACCACACCGGGAGCCACTCCTGTCAGCTAACAACAGGAAACTGAGGCTATAGTTGGCACAGGTTCACCAAAGTTGGACAATAGAAGATTGGAAAAATGTTGCCTGGTCTGAAGAGTCTTGATTTCTGCTGCAACATTCAGACGATAGGGTCAGAATTTGGTGTAAACAACATGACAGCATGGATCCATCCTGCCTTGTATCAACAGTTCAGGCTGCTGGTGGTGGTGTAATGGTGTGGGGGTTACTTTATTGGCACACTTCGGGTCCCTTAGTACCAACTGAGCATGGTTTAAACACCATAGCCTACCTGAGTATTGTTGCTGACCGTGTCCATCCCTTTATGACCACAGTGTACCCATCTTCTGATGGCCAATTCCAGCAGGATAACGCGCCATGTCACAAAGCTCAAATCATCTCACTGGTTTCTAACTGGTTTCTTGAACATGACAGTGAGTTCACTGTACTCCAATGGCCTCCACAGTCACCAGATCTCAATCCAATAGAGCACATTTGGGATGCGGTGGAATGGGATATTCGCATCATGGATGTGCAGCTGACAAATCTGCAGCAACTGCGTGATGCTATCATGTCAGTATGGACCAAAATCTCCAGCACCTTGTTGAATCTATGCCACCAAGAATTAAGGCAGTTTTGAAGGAAAAGGGGGGTCCAACCCATGAAATGAAATGTGTTATGTGGACTCAGTTGGCTCATTTTTTAGTAGCAGGGTGGAAATGTCACTCATAGACTTATCAAACATCATTCATTTCCTTTATTTATTGCATTGGTATTAAACTCATCTATCAATGTCAAATGTCTCAGGCTATCTTAGGTGTTCATATTGCATTTCATTTCATTGGAGCTGAATATAAAATTTTGATTTAATAAATTTGCCGTACCATCAATAGAGGCTCTTTTGGGCAGGATGGTGACAGCACCCTCAGCCACGTCCTCCTGGTCTTGAATGGGGGAGCTTTTGGCCCCCCAACTGTCGGAGCCAACAAACAGGAAGTGGCCTGTCAAGTTGGCCTTTTTGGCAGACTGTAACACCCGTCTGAAAGAGAACAGATTATTCTTCCTCACACACTTTCTACTTTACTCCTCTGCTGGTGACCAAGTGTTATCAAACAGGACACTTGGCAGTTAAATATTAAACAGTACATTTTATCATCTGGCTGTTTTTCTTTCTCTAATATGCCGTGCAGCAGAACTTGACTCACTTGATATCGTCCTCGTTGGCAAAGATGATGACCCCACGAGCATTAGAGGTCTCCATCAATCTCTTGATGATCTTCTCAAACTCCCCGGGTCTGGGCTCTCTGGGAATCTTTATGGACTGTGCGATACACAGCCCCCCTGTGTCAGACATATTGGAAATGTGTAAGCAATATTTGTACATCCCTGTGTTCTTCCCTCACTGCACAGTAAAATTATAACACTAATAATCATTATAATGACTGAAAATTTTAAAGAAGTATTTCAAATTGCAAGAAGGATGATATAGCATAAAGTGATATTACTTAAACTAAGATATCCTTGTTTTCCATCCTATTAGCCTACTTGGCAAATGTTAGCATGCTAAGAGTCTAAAGTAAGACTGTTAAAGATATACGAAGCAGGACATTCCTGAAAAACAACAATGTATAGACTCATGCAAAAGTAATCCTTCTCAATCATCAGTTATGATCCACTAGAAGTGTGTGGCGGTGTATTTTTCGCAGAGACTTTGCTCACTGCCTGTATTTTCTTATTTTCTGTGTTCAAAACGTTCATGGGCGTGTTCCCCCACAGCACTCAGCTGAGGTCAGGGCTTTGTAGAGGGGTAGTGACGAGGTGTCAAGAGAGTAAGCAGCAGACATCCAAGTGTGTGAGCACGTTGGCCTGCTGATGTTAGCAGTTAGCTCAAAGCATTGCTGTGTCTAAATCCAGACCCCCAGGGAAGCTATTCAGCCTTGCAGCAGGTTTTTCCCAGTGGCCACTTGCGGCATTGCAGCGAAAAAATTCCCTGCAGCTCAAAAAGCATTCTCCCTACAGATCACCTGAATGTTTGAGCCATGGTGGTTTTATATATTTAAAACTTTCATCAAGCCAAGTAAAGCAATTTTAAAATCACAACGTAAAGTTGATAAGCCGAGCAGGAACTCATGGGTGGGGCCAGCAGGAGAAACACTACTGCGCATATTCAGTGGGTGGCATACTGCAGAAGTAAACCCCGAAGATGGAAACTTTTTTGGTGTATGCGCCAGGCAAGCAACTCCATTGGAATGAATAGGCGCCGTCTTGGTGTCTGGTATCTTGTTATTATTAAACTATATGGCCTAAGTGCAGCATCACAGAGAGTGAGTGTCAGTCTAGATGAAGAGCACATCTAAGCCAATATTGACACTAGGAAACATGTCTGAATTATTTAATAATTCTGTGACCCTGTATGATAAATTATTACATTGAGTAATATTAAATAAGCTACAAAATGAGGAGTCTACAGTCACACTAGCAGCTTTGACACTAATATCTGCATCCTTACATGCTCATAATGGCAGTGCTAACATGCTGATGTTGAGCAGGTATAATTTTTACCATGTTCACCATCGTAGTTTAGTGTTTTAGCATGCTAACATTTAGTGCTGAGGACCAAACACAAGCTACAGAAGGAACAGATGGCAATGTCAGTTTTGTAGGATTTGGAAAATGAAATTTTGATCTGATGATAATGTTTGATGACAAGTTAGGAGTCAACCAAAGATAATACATTTCATCCTGATGGGAACCTGAATGTCTGTACCAGACACCAATACAACTAATGAATAATAATGTTAATAATAATAATGATAATAATACAAAAACCTCATGGCAGCACTCGGTAAAGGTCAGGGAATCACCAATGTCATCAGGATTCATCCTCTGGGGACAATTAATGTCCATATAAAAATGAATGGCAGTCCTTTCCTAATGAGATATTTGAGTCTGGACTGAAGTGGTCGAGCGACCACGGTCAGTATGCTGCTACAGCAGTGATCTGTCCAGCATTTTCAATTATTGATGTGCAGTATGTGTGTGATACTATGTGAAATCTGAACCCTAGTAACATCATTTGAGCCTTTAAACCCATGTAAGGTGGTGACTCCTATTTGCCCGGTTACATCTTGTGTTTTAAAGGATTTTTGTTTCCTATTTTAGTCTTTTAATGAGTGGGAACAACGCGGCTCGCTAAATGAGTAATCCCTTATTGTCACAGCAATGAATTCACATTTCTACAGCCAGACACACAACCTGCTTCTCTGGATATCTGGAGAAAGGCGTCGACACCGCTCTCTCCGTAGTTGCCCTCAGATGCCAGCGTGGAGACGTAGTTCCAGCCCATGGCTTTGACTATGTCCACCATAGCCTGGGCCTGGTAGGAATCAGGAGGCACCACACGGGAGAAGAATTCATAGCGGCTGTTGTCGCTCAGCTCCGGGGCAGTGGAGGCATAGCTGATCTGGGGAATCTGAGACACGAGGATGGGTCAGTAATGACGAAAGGGCAACCAAGAGCAGTGCAAATTAGGCCAATATGTGATAGCAAGATAAAAAATAGAAGAGGCAATGAACCATAACAGAGGATGATGCACCACTTACTCAGACAAAACCTTAACAGAATCTAAATGGAGGCCTTCCACTTTTATACTAGCAAGTTGTAGTGCATTAAAATCCCAAAATTGGACCATCATAGAGAGCAATCATCTCTTGAACAGCCTGTGTTCTCAGTAATTCTCAGAATTGACGCAACTTCACAGTGTGTTCTGTCCAGAGCTGGTCTGTATATATAAATATATATATATTTATATAGACAACGTCACAGTGAAATACAGATGGTTGGAACCACAGCTGTAAAAGCATTTGTTTGGAAAAAAAGGATGAGAAGATTAATTTACTGGTGTGCTACTTCTTTAATGACACAGTTTATGTCGACAGTCTCAACCCTGACCCTGCTAATGCCGGTCCCACAGCGTGGCTTAACGTTGGGCCGAGGAGAGAAAGGTAGACACAAGGGGTAGTGAAGGGAGAAGGAGAGAGGAACGAGAGAACCATTTCACAGATTATCTGGAAGGATTATAGGGGTTTTAGTCAAATTACGTTAAGCACAGAGGGAGAGACAGAGATCAAAAGACTAGAAAAAGGTTAGCATTTCTCAGCTGTAAGCCATACAATATATTTAATTCTGATGGCCACATGCAGCTTCAATTTGCTGCTGTGCGTTAACGCCAAGCTCGAACTCACTGGTCAGCCTCCATGTCACAAACAACATCTTCAACCAGGTGTTGACTCTCTCTCAAAAAAAAAACTACTGTGTGTTGGACAAGTTTATTAGGTGACATTTGGCATCAGGGTCCAGAGAAGACTGAGTCAGTGAGGTGAATCAATTGTGTGCATGCAAATTTGTAAAGAACAAGATGAAACGTAATCCCCTCCAAATTAATCCGATAAAAGCATCTGCACCAATTCACTTTCTAAAATCAATGAGCCATATCAGTAACACAAGTATCCACTTACAGTCCCGTAGCCTTCTGCTGAAGTCTCACTATCAGTAAATGACTGAAACAGTCCAAGGATGGGATCCAGGATCCAAGCCAAGGAAATATGATGGTGGTTTAGTTTGACTTAATGGTCTGATTTATGATGATCTGTTGCAGGAACAGCCTGAGTAGCCTGATTAAATGTTTTGCTTTGTAATGATTTAAATCATCATTTCTTTGCAGCAGACTTATTGAGGTTTAAGAAAATGTACTTAAATCTGCAGTTGCAGACTTATGATTCAGACTGCACACAGTGTGTTGAAATATTGGATGACACTAAATGAACTGCATCACTATAAATAGGGCTACAATTAATTTAATTTTGTTATGTTAAAGGTCCAGTGTGTAGGATTTAGGGGTATCTATTGGCAGAAATGGTAAATCCTTTTCATAACTATGTTTTCATTAGTTTACAATCACCTGAAGATGCTAATCTTTGCATCTTCATTGCCTCAGAGTGAGCTGTTTATATCTACATATGGAGCAGGTCCTCTTCATAGATGTATAATAATAAATATATTCTGGACCCCAAGATGGCGCCTATTCAGTCCAATGCAATTGCTCACCACGAACATACAGCAAAAAAGGTTTCTAGCTTTCTAGCCTGAAAATGTACGGAAGTGTTTCTTCCACTAGCCCCACTTACAAGTTCCCGCTTAGCTCGTAGACTATATATTGTGATGACATCATGGAGTTTTAAACCGCATTTCTCAACTTGAGGAAAATTTGAAAAACCTTAAACCTCCGTGGATCCATATTTATAATAGATAGAGTCATAATTAACCTTGTTTGAAGTTTGAGGTGGCGGTCTATGGAAGCAAGGCTGAGCTGCCTTCTTGGGGGCCTGATTCCAAGGGTGTATATAGAGACCTGGACCCAGCATTGGAGGCAGGACCTGTTCATTCCTATGAGAGTTGTTCAGTGGCACATGAAGCCAGAATGGGTCTGGGGATTACAGGCACTGCTTCCGCACTGTGCAGCACATAGACCAGGCGCACTAGAGACTTCCGACAGCCAAGCTGGCTACTTCTGGTTTAGCACTCTGTTGACTTAAATGGCAATAAAGTTCTAACTTTCTGAATGTTATCAGCCAGAATGGATTAAATCCAGACAGTGACACAAGTCATTTTGCAGGGTTGTGATGCTAAAAAAAATGTCCACTGATTTACAGACATCTCCTTCACCATGTAAGTCAAATTCTTTTTGGGCTGCAGGGCATCACGTGATGGAGCAATTACACTGCTTAGCCGCTATGAAAAATGGCTTCAAAGCCCAGCACAGTCCGCCATGTTGTTCTACAGTAGCCCAGAACAGACAAATCAAACACTGGCTCTAGGTAGGGTCGCTTCGGCCACCATAGTTCTACACACTTGGCAGACAGGAGAAGTTTCAGTTCTACAGCCTCACTGCTAGATGCCACTAAATCTTACACATGAGACCTTTAATACAGATTATTTTCTGATTAATTATATGAAAATAAATTAGTGACAAATATCTTTTGATATGACCATTTGATGTTTTCAAATTGCACATTTTTTGTGTGACAAGTGGTTCAAAACCCAAAGATACTGCATTTACAGTGATGTAAAAGAGTAAAGCACTAAATCCTCAAATTTATAATGCTGTAGTAATAATAATAATGTCGATTGACTAATCAGCTAAATATTTCAGCCCAAAATTAACTGTTGAGTAAAATACAAAACTGATGTGATTCACACCTTGTAACTTGTATTGTATAAATGTGACCTACACTGACAGTTTTCATTTACTGCAAAAGAATAAGCAACATTAAACAGAGTGTGTGTGGCTGATGCTGAAACATCTCCTGCTCCGGCTGAGAGCAGATGTTCGATGTATAGTGACCATCAGTCTAGAAGTATCCGCGGCGTGGAGAGCAGCACATATGGACAGTAGGAGGAAACACACCATTTAGCTAAATCTATTCCACGCCGTCCAGGCTACAAATTGCTGTTATCCTAGAACCAATGTCATCCCGCTGCCCTGATGCTCTATTTTCAGCCTGGGGTCCTGAGCTGCTGAGAGGGGCTTAGTGGAGGGTGGGATCTGTAATTCTGTAGTTAACATCTGCCCTGTATGCAAGCTGACCCTCCTTGGCTCTCATATCAACATCCTTACTATAAAGGATGTTGTAACAAGGAGAAATGTCTGATTTAATTTTTTTATCTGATACAAATTCAGCCAATTTGACAAAGACTAGTGTTGCTGTTTTTTTTTTTTTATTTAATTTCTAGATTTCTGGCAGACTGCCGGTATGTCAGTAAGTCAATGAGAACATGACATCATGTGGGATTTACACAGACTCAATGTCCCATCATCGTTATAAGCAGTGTAATCAATTATCAAAGGTCAATCATCTGTAAAAGAAAAAAAAACTACAATGAACACATAACACGGATTAGTCTGCGGAGGCTGCGCATGACAATGGATTCAAAATCCTGTGAAGTGAGGAGACTCATTCAAATTATTCATCATTTTAACTGACTTGTTTCGAAGTCGTATCAGATGAAATGCGCACTGATTATTTGTCTGTGCAGCAGCAGTGAGGGGATATGTGAAACAATATCTTATCAAAATATCCACTGAGGTAACGTTGATAATTAAACGTGAGGAGTACTCTTAATTAGGTTTGTAAAATCCATAAACCAACTGCAATTAGCTCCCCGTGTTCGTGCTGCAGAATGAAGACACAATTAAATGATGACCCCATTCATCATCTAAGAGCGGATAAAATGATTAAATGAATAAGACCATTGTGTGCTCCTGTACATCTTAACTAGATCAGCAGTGAGCTGATTTAACAGCACAAGCATGAACAAGTGGGTTCATTAAAATAGAAGGTACAAGTTCAGCTACTCTGAGCCTTAAGTCTACATCAAAAGCAAAATTATCTGTTTGTGTTTATTCAGACATATGTGAGGTCCTGTTCCTGAGCACAGCTGATCACTGATATCACTGACAGATCTGATATCAGAATGCTCTGCTATGATTAATACTATGTTTAACAAATTTTTCCAACATAAACAGCAAGAAAAAAATGGGAGAAGGGGCTGAAAGCACATTTGCTTTCTCCCTCAGTGTGAATTTCAGGATCTGGTCCCACGTCTCACTACTGCTGCTTGTGCTAGGTCAACATATTTTTGTACAACAGTTTGTATGATTTCTAACAAATTAGTGCCCCACAAATGACAGTGAGGTCAGATTTAGGCAAGTGAAGTTTCGTAGGTTAGGTTTAGGAAAAGAAACATGGTGACCACTTATCTGAAAGTGACTCAAAGTTCATTTGGTTTGGGGCGTTGGTGGCTTAGTGGTAGAGCAGGTGCCCCATGTACAAGGCTATTGCCGCAGCAGCCCGGGTTCGAATCCAGCCTGTGGACCCTTGTTGCATGTCATCCCCCCTCTCTCTCTCCCCCTTTCACTCTTACCTGTCCTGTCCATTAAAGGCAAAATGCCCCAAAAAATATCTTTAACAACAACAAAAAAAAGTTAATTTGGTTTCACATGGTATCAAACACCAGTCTTGTGTCATTTGACCCATCCACAACCCAACATACATCCCTGTGTGTACTACTACTTTGCTCTTGTCAGCGCTCTTGTGATCACAGCTTTCCCTATTACGTGGATTATACATAAACTAGTGGCTCATGATCACATGGGATTTATATATAAATTGTGGTGCATTACTTTTTGAAGGTATACATATGCGTATGAGAACAGCCTGGCCAAACTGACCATCAAAATGGCTAGCGTTAGCATTAACATTGTAGAGATTCAGCCATATATGTTTAAGCTTCAGTCAGACCCAAACTCAGATGAGGAGTCAAAAATATCTGCTATGATGTCACAGTGTGTTTACGTTGTTACATTGTTATTATTATATACCAGAGATCTAACCAAAATTTGTATTAAGTTACATCTGGTTGAGATTTTTATATTAGGTGTAGTAAGTCCACCCTGCGCTGGAGGTTTCACATTTCTATGCTGGCATTTGCACATTAGACAGTGATTGGCTTTCGTATTAGTGATGTACATAATCTAGTCTGCCTGGCCTGTGTACATTTAAATCTCAGATTTTAGGTGTACACAGCTATCGCCCACTTCAGTAGAGAAATGTGAACACACCTCTTTGGTGACAGACACAGGTCAGTATAGTCAAGGTCAGATGTGTTTGGGGAGATTGGCATAGGAAAAACACATTTCTGAGTGTAGAGGAAGTTTAAAGATGTATTCTGGATCGCTGGACAGTTTTTGACAGTTACTCTTAGTTTGAAAGTCACCGACTAACTTGATAACTTTTTGGTTCATGACCCCAAATCACTTGTTTCATTTGATGGATTTTTGAGGCTTAAAGTAATAAAAGTATCCAGAACATATCACGTTTTACAGATTTATAAAGAGACAGAAGGGAGAGACAGGAAACACAGGGAGAGAGAGGAGGTTCCTGGCTGTGATGAAGCATGTAATGGTGCAGGCATGTGGCACATGTCTAAAGCAGTCAACAACCAGGATGCCTTAAGTATCCAATTCAAAGAAAAAATAAAAGATGTTTGTTTGTTTTCTTGACCCTTTAATCATTTTGGACCTCTCAGATTTACCCTGGGACCAACTGAGGGATCCCAACTCCCAGGCTGGGAACCTTTGCTTTAACTCATGTGCCTCTTTTTTTCCTCCTTTATGAATAGATTAAAAACGGAAGTGAGTACAGGATAATGGCTTTCACCTAGATCTCACCCCATCAGCTTACTTACTGAAAAGAGAAACTGTCCCAATTATTTTGTCCTTTCAGAGTTTAATGGAGAAAGGTGGTGAAACTCACCGCAAACAATCTGAGCACATTGGCCACCATGATGGACACCGAACTGCCAGACGCCCCAATCACCCCAACCACCCTCTCCGGTTTGGGGATGATGGGAGGCTCTCCGTTTGAGCAGCGCACATCTGAGGTGTCCTTCTGGATGAGTGCCTGGACAAAGGTGAGCGACTGCTCCAGGGCGTAGGTGTCTCTGGAGCAGGTGTCAAGGATCCGGGCCCCCAGAGTGATGTTAGGCAGCAGGTCCGGGTCACTATTGATCTGGTCCAAGGCGTACAACATGGCCTCCAATCGATGGATCCCCTTTTCTTTCTTGACCTCCCCACAGGGCACCCCAGCAGGTCCCCGAGAGTGCACTGGGAACAGCCCGCCCAAGGTGATGTCGCCCTCGATTTTGATGGACTGTGGCTGGGTGCCCTGCTGGGCCCCTGAGCTTGGGCTGATACCCACCAACAGCGCCCACATCAGCTGAAGCCATGTTTGGTACCTGAAAGGTGAAGTGAGCCGGCAGCACTGATGGGATGAGCGGGCCTCTGATGTCATGATGATGACCGGCAGAGGTACTGACAGCACCAGGCCACTCCCTCTACGTCTGACACCTGAGGGCAGTCGGAGATGTCTGATTATCATCTCATCATCATGACAGTGTGTTTCCAAAGTCTCAGTCTTCGTTTGGAGAAGAAGAGGGCTGCAAACTATCAAACTACTATTGCTGCTTACCTACTTGGATGTTTATGTCAGTAATATTCCTTCAGTTTCAGAGCTTGATAAATCAGTTATTTTAACTTCATCACTTTATATTCCATATTTTGTTTGATCTGTCACTTAGTCAGTGTGAAATATTTAAATAAAACATGCATTTTTTATGGTCACAACATAAAATGGAAAATTCTAGATGTGTTTTGCATCATTTGATAAACACTGTCTTGTAATTAAGCATGCCAGATTTTGTATCTTTGGAGACTTGAGATCTTAAATAGAATTTAAACATTTTTATAGGTTTTCAGCTCTTTGAACATTGCATTGATCCATATCAGATAACAATGTGTTTAAATGCAGAGAGCCCACAGGAAGATTTTTTTTTAAATGTCTGACAACAACCAAAGCCCTAACCTTAACCCTTTTTGACACATTTTCTGCTGCAGTCTATTTTCGGGCATTGGATCCAAACTGAGAAAATTTGAGAAAAGAAAATATAAACTATACTCCATTTGAAAAGCTGTAGCTGAGGAGAAGATTTAAGACAGCATGCATGATGACACAAAGTGAATATTGGAAGCTTTTATCACAGAGAGAGACGATGATGGAAAACATTATAAATTTTGCAAAACAGAAAACATCAACTGAACTGTCGCAGCATTTCATGCTCCAAAAGTTGGAGTAGGTTAATTTTATCAGCATGAGCATCACTGAAGAAACCCACAGTAAACAACTGGGCTAACCGATCCCACAGACTATAAAACTAAATTATTAAGAGTGTAAATATATTAAATATTTGCAGGCAGGATTTGAACAATAGAAAATATGAATTATGGGAGCTTAATTTTGGTAAATTTAGTATTAAATCCAAATGTCTAACATAAATAAATAACAGTTTTCATGCTTACAGAATAACTGTCTTTCAGAATCACAATAAGATTTATTATCAAGTAGATTTTCACTTACAAGTAATATGCTTTGGCTTTTTTGGTGCATAGATTAAGCATACAATAAACATACGAAGAGGAAATAAAAATAAGGCAAAGCACTGCAACTCTCAAGAATCAAGCACGAATCAAATTACAATAAAAATATACTAAAAGTACCATAACATAAAAAATGTACAGTGTAGCTGTTTCAGAATTAAAAAGCTGCACGGTTTTGTGCAGGATGTGTAAAACTGCATTACCATACAATTGCAATACATACTTATATTCATACTCAAACTTATATCTATGATGCCAAATCTTTCTATGTTTCTGTACTGCACTTGTCAAGTTGATTTCATGGATGTTAGTTGAAAAGATTCCCAAAATAAGAGCACAATGTGAAACTGCATAAATCACACAACCATTTACAGAGAATACTGTCACAGGCACCCTGCAAGTAGAGACATTCCTTCATGTAAAGGCGCTTCTTACCTGCCCATTCTTCATTGACCAGTCTTGATTTTATCCATCACATGAGCTCTTCCAAACAGGCCTCCATCCATGGTCCGAAATGTGATTATATATCTAGAGGCTCTCCTCTCCTCGCCAAAAGTAAATCCCCTATCATCTCAGACCGCCGCTGTGCACTCTCAAAAATAACCACCACACAGAAAACAACTGTCTAAAAAAAAAATAAAAAAAGTAGTTGTGATATATGAAGACTAAATGAAAAGACTGACTTTTGAAGCTTTAGTTTATAGTATCATTGCAGAATCAGAGAAAAGTGGAGGAAACAGCACAACATTACAGCAGTGAGAGTCTACAAATCACTGCCAAATCCCTTAAAAGCTCTCCCTCCCTCTCTCTCTCTCTCGTTCTTTTTCCTCTGTGTGCATCTCTGTCCAGGCACTCCCCCCCCCCCCACTCTTTCTCTCTGTTGAACCCTCTCCTCGCTCGCTCTCTCAGCTCACTAATGGCCACAGATTGGGATTATCATGCAGGCGTCTGTGAAGAAAGCACTAGGTGGACTAGCCCACTTCTTTTTTTTTCCATGCAGCTGAACCAAATGCAGAGCCCCCTCCCCACCCCCTCCAGCATGATGGAACTCACTTTGAGAGATTAGATAAGCAGCGATTTGATTCATACTCTCACAAACACACACACACTGACATGACACACACACACACACACACACACACTCTCTCTTCACACACCTGTCAACACTGGCACAATGGTGGAGAATGCCAGAGCAGAAAATACATTTCTGCACCACAGAATGCAGCTGGATTAGATTTATTATTGATTTGAGTTGATGCTCTGGGAAAAGCAGCCCCCGGATCAGTTTGCAGCTCATCATCTGTCAATTAGATGCTTGAATGTGGTATCACTACTGCCGCCTACTGTACCAATATACACACAGCGCATCACACATTTAAACTTCCATCATGTGGTGTTACAAAAAATAAACCACAGAGCATAAATTTCTTCACATTACTTTTAATTTCAAGTTAACAGACTCTGTGACATATTAGAAAAAGAGATTTTCAGACTGCTCATTGAACCCAAAACAACAAGGTCTAAGGTTTGCTAGTACCTCTGCAAAACGTGACACATTTAGTTAAAAACTAGCCTAAGAAGACAGACTTCTCCAAGCCATCCTCAGCTTTGGTGTACTCCAGGTGAGATTTGAAGTACTGGCTCTTGTACCGCGGGCTGCTCCGGACAAATTCAAGATAGTCAGGAGTTCCTGGGCAGATCACGTTGTCTGCCAGTAGGACGCTGCCTTTCCTGAGGAGGTCGCACTCCTGATGAAAAAACAAAGAGCTTCATGCATCATGACAGAAAAGAGTTTGATGAATAGAAAAATAAGCACAACAAACTTGCCTCCATTAGTTTTGCATCCGGAAGATAGCGATCCTTCCAGTGATCCAGGAAAATTAAATCAAATGTTTTCACCCCAAACTGCTCCTTCATTTTGGGGATCCAGTCACCAGATGCTCCTTCAACTAAATGGACCTAGGAAGAAGAAACACATCCTGAATACCAATTTTTGGCCTTCAAAGTTTCATTGATTACTACTCACAAATATTCAACCCTTTGGCGGAATGTGAAGACACCTGGGGGTAATCAATCAATCACATTCATATAAGCTAATCAACCACCATACCCGGCCTAGTCTCGCCACCAGACAATCAGAGATCTCCACCTTCTGATAAGTGTCTAAAGACTGACTTGTGAGTCTATACCCGGCCCAACTTTTGTAGGAATTAGCCTTGCCATGTGTGTGTGTGTATGTGTGTGCGTGTGTGTGTGCGTATGTAAAAGAAAGAGTGATAGGGAGGGGAAGAGAAGTTCAAAGGGGGACTATTGTTCCTGTAAGTTATTAATAACTCTAATGCCACAGGTCAGACCACATCACTAGATGCACAGCAGTTGCAAGCCGTGGATAACTGTCAACAATTTCTCTAACCTGTTCCTTTTCCTTGTCGGTCAGCCAATTTAATAACTTGAAGTGGGGGTCAATGATGTGTTGAGAATACTGGCCTCATCTGTGTCTGACACTTACCACCTCCTTTCAGTTTCCTCCACCAGTTTACTGGTGATAAAACAAAACAATATACAGAGCATTCGAATACTAATTTGGATGCGAGTTACCATGGCAAGCTTCGAAGCATTCTGGTCAGCACTATTGTCATCTGACCTGCCGAACATAAGGCTGAGTACCACTCAGCACCTTTAAGTACCAAGTAGGATTAGAATGTCTCCTGTCAAACGATACATGCATTCATTTTGCACTGGGGGCCTGATCCTTGACTTTCCCAACTCTCTGCCAGATAATCAAACTTTTCAAACAGTTTAACATCTGCCTGGTTAGCACAAGCTAACAAAAGCAACAGCAGCCCACACCGTTGAACCCATTCATAACCGTTAGGTAACGTTAGCCATGTAATGCTAACAGTTAGCTCTGTCACTGTGTATGTGCAGCCAGGCAGACACTCGCCAACTAGCGCGGAGCTCACACTCCGGCAGCAGCAGGTACAACTTTTACAGTCTGTGGTGTGGTGAAGCCGAGCCAAGGGTGCTTGACAGAGTTGGCAGTTCAGCATGCCGAGATGCTACCAAAATATTCAAAAAGTATATAAGACTATACTACACGCCTCTCTAGTCACATTATGGATACTGATTGAAGTACTCTATTGGTATTGGTATCACTTTCAGGAAACCAGTATTGGTACTGGTATCATAATTGTTTTAAACCATACCCAGCCCTGACTGCACACACTATGTAATGGATTGTTTTTCAGTTTGTATGGAGACACCTGGCTTTACCTTATCCTCTAATCCTGCCCAAGCGATGACTTGACGAGCAATTGCAGCATAGTCTGGGTTGAATTCAAGAGTGATGAGCTTGCCGTGAGGGGGAAGCAGGCTGGCGATCCGTACCGTGGAGTAGCCACAATAGGTTCCCAGCTCCAATACAGTGGCTGGGTTTACCTCAGACACCACTGAGTCAAGAATGCTGCCTGCGGCAATAAAACAAAAAGAAGATACCAAAACACACAAGTGAGGTAATGATGTCCACATGAAACACAGAGTCACATGGTGAGAAATCAGTACCTTTCTCATCCCCCACATTCATGGCCCATTCCTTGTTTTTGCAGAACTGATCAATGGCTTTCACCACGCTGCGAGGGTCCCCTCTGGTGGCGTTTTTCTGTACTGCATCCAGTAGCCTCTGAAGGGAGAGAGAAAAAAGCTAGACATGATATATCTATAATGGAGCATTTTTTAATATCACTGTGCGTGTCATAATTATTCACTCATTAATATTTTATAGATAATTAATAAGTAAACATTAAAAGAACTTGGGTTGCCAGTTGTAACCATGCATTAGAGCAACAGACCCCATGTGTTGGTGTCTGTTTTCTTGTTCTTCAAATTCTTTTATTTGGAATTTTTCTCCAAAAATTCAACACAACACCATTAATGTAAGACATACATTTTTATCCTTTGCAGCTCAATACCCCTGAATGAAGGTGGCTTGTCTTACCTCTGGCTCACACAAAAACGATCAGTTTATACAAAAGTCACAAAGTGAGCTCAGAAGTATGACATCTTGTGATATACATGTCGAAATTGAGTTTAAACTGGAGAAGTATGTGTGGCATGAAAAACAAAAGTACAGAAAGGCTATTTGTAATTTTAGAGTAAACAACACCAGAATTCCTCAAGTCACTGGAAGATATAAAGGGCTGGACAGAAACCGGAGGATTTGCAGCCTCTGTGATGATAATGGTGTGTGAGATGAGTATCACATTTTGTTTGAATGTCAGAATGTAAGCTTAATGACGTACAGAGAAAGGTATTTGCCAAAGCATTATTTAAACCGTTCATCTATGTTTAAATTAATTTTGTTATTACAATCATATAAGCCAATAATTTGTAAATAGGCACTTTTTTGAAGAATGCAAGTAACATTGGTTGTAATTTAGCCACCTGTTTGCCATTGTTTTGTTATTGTATGTAATGTTTGTACTTCATACCATGTGATATGGTTGTCAATCAAATAGATGGAAAAACAAAGATACACAAAGTGGCCCCAAAAGACAGAAATATACCTCAGAGATACACAAATTAACCTTTAAAGAGACATAAAACAACAACAAAGAGACACATGATGACTGAAAAAAGACAGAAAGACACAATCTACCTCAAAGAGATACAAAATGACCACATAAGACACAGGTATACCCCTGAGAGATGCAAAATGACCTCAAAGAAATACAAAACAACAAAAGATGCTGACAACAACAAAAAGAGACAAAGCTTGCACAACATCTATGTGTCTTGTTCCTATGTGAGAAGTGGTGGGGCTTTTTTATGTCTGTCCCCCAGTATCTATTGTGTCAAAATCCACCTATGATAATACTGTTGAGAAGCATTCAATCCATTTTTACATGTTTCATTGATCATTCCTTTATTATTACTTCATTACTATGTAAGTTAGGCCTAAATAGGAAGCATCACTCAACATAGTAAATTTAATTTTTGTTTTTGTCCATTTATTAAATTTTTTTAAAAAGCTAATCTAAGTCAGCTTTATATAGACTGGAAGTAATCTGATGATCAAGACTTTAAAGAGGCCAGTAGTTTAAAGCAGAGTTAGATAGGCTTAAGGAGAAGCAATATCCTGACATGTGTTGACTGAGGTATATAATATAAGGCATCTGTGTATTTATTTTTTTAACAAGTGTATCCTCAGCATATTTTCTTCTCTTGGTTGCCATCAGCTGATCACCACTATGACGTGTACAGCTGGTTCTTGTTAATCTGTACTGTATGTGCAGCACCTTCTCCAAGTTTTCTTACGGTTTAAACCCCTCTAGGTAGTTGTGCTTTTACCTGTTGCTGCTTCACTGTTTGCTTAAAGGTAATGCTGAGCTTTCTTTGCTGAACCTGTTCAAGTGTAGTAGAGTGTCTTTTACTACATCTGACTTGAGTTAGGACTGACTCTGGTTGTCTTAAACCAAGACGCTTTCCTCAGGGACGTAGGTTAAGTTTCAGGGGACACATGTGAAACAGGTGTTTTGGGGGTTCACTGCCAGAAAATTTTGAGCATCAAATGCATTCTGGTGAATTTTTATGCAAGTGTTTCTGTTTCAATTTATGATGTAATTGTCTTTATTTTGTCAAAATAAAAGTAAAACTCTGCCACTGTAATGTTTTCATTGGGAGAGACAAAAGCCCTGTTCTAAATATTGAGGGGGATGTGTCCCTGCACTCCCCTTTTCACTCACCTTTTCTCAGGACTTACGTGGGTGTGTACAGACTAGACCAGACCTGACTGACTCTCTCAGTCTTCTGTAATTGTGGAAAAACTTGCTAGGAATATGTACAC